GCCACTCGGCCGGCCCTTAATGGTAACTTTTGATGAGCAGAACTTTTTGCTTTTGATGAAGTCCAATTATCAATTTTACTTTGTGTTTAGTGCTTTTGATGTTTGTCTAAAAAAATCTTTGCATAATCTCAGGTTATGAAGATTTTCTCTTATGTTTTCTTGTAGAAATCTTATAGTGTTTGCTTTTACATTGAAGGCTATTATCCACCTCAAATTAATTTTTATGTATGTTGTGAATGGCTCAGTGTTTATTTTTTTTCATATACTTCTTCAGTTGTTCTAGCACAATTTGTTAAAACCACTTCCCTTTCTCCATTGATTTGCCAAAATGTCTTTATTGAAAATCATTGACCATATGGAGTTTATTTCTGGATTCTCAATCCCTTTGTCTATTCTTATGTCAATACTACCTTGGTGGGTTACAGTAACTTTATAATTGGTTTTAAAATCAGGTAGTATGAATCATCCAAATTTATTATTTTTTTCCAAGGTAGTTTTGGTCATTTTAGGCCCTTTGCATTTTTATATAGATTTTGAAATCAGCTTCCTCTATTCGCCTTTTTTTATATCTAGAAGAAATCTGTTCAAATTTTGATTGAGATTGTCTTGGATATATAGATCAATTTGTGGAGAATGGACATCTTAACAATATTGATCTTACAACCCATAAACATGGTTATATCTTTCTCTCTATTTAATATTTTCTTTGGCAATTTTTCTGCAATGTTCTGTAGTTTTCAGTGTAGAGGAATATATGTATATACTGGGGGTGCCAAAAAATGTATACAAGTGGACACTTTGGTCAACATTGCTCAAGCAGTAGTTTGCCATAATCAGAAGTATCTGGACACTGATGGTAACTACTCTGAGCACCTCTTATAATTGCAGAAGTCAAACATGACTTGTATTCATTTTTGTTATCAGTATATATTGAGTATTACAATTTTAATATAGTTTTATCCTTTCTCAAAATGTGTATACTTTTTTTGGCACACTGTGTGTGTGTGTGTGTGTATAAAATTATATGTAAAATTATAATATATAAAATTTAAATTTATACCTAAGTATTTTATATTGTTTGATGTTATTGAAATTGGAATTTTAAAATAATTTCAATTTTCCAGTCAAAATGGCAGGGTAGGTAAATGTTGTGCTTGCTTCTTCTCACAACCACATCAAAATTACAACTAAACTACAGAACAACCATCAGTGAGAATCGCCTGAGGTCTAGCTGAACAGGAGTCCTATAACTGAGGACATACAGAAGAAGCCACCTTGAGACTGGTAGGAGGGGCAGAGACCCGGAGGAGCAAGCGGTCTCAGCCCCACACAGGTTCCCCAGCCCAGGGTTCCAGTGCCGAGAAGAGGAGTCCCCACAACTTCCAGATGTGAAAAACAACAGAGATTGTGGCTAGAGTTCCAAACGTTTCTCTTAAAAGGTCTGTGCTCGGACTTACTCGGTGATGGACTCACTTGCTCTGAGCTCCAGCTCTGGGACAGCAGCTTGAAAAGTGCCAGGGAAATCTGGGTAGGAGCTGAGTTGTCTAGCTTCAGGGCGATGGCTGGAGGGGTGCCTTTCTCCTAGACAGAAGTACTGGTGGAAGCCATTTTTCCTTTGATAGCCATTCCCCCTCCCAGCTTTCAGACACAGGCAGCCACCATTTCTGAGTCTCCATCAAAGTGGCTAACATCAATCATGCCACCTGGTGATTTCCTGAGACCCCGCCCCACCCAACATGTGGGATCCTCAGAGCTGCTTCCAGTGGCTATTCCATACAAATGGCCTGTCTTGGATCTTGACCCTGATTCCTAAAATCTCTCAAAGGCTCACAGACCTCAAACAAGCAGCATTTGGCCTCAGCGTGACCCATACCTCTTTTTTTTTTTCAATTACAGTTGACACACAATATTATATTAGTTTCAGGTGTACAACATAGTGATTAGACATTTATATAACTTACAAAGTATTCACCCCAATAAATCTAATACCTATCTGATACCATGCACAGTTACTACATTATTGACTATATTTCTTATGCTATACTTTACATCCCCATGACTATTTTGTAAATATTATACCATTTTGTACTTCCTAATCCCATCCTCTTTCCACCCACCCCCCCAAACCCCTTCCTATCTGGCAAACATCAAAATGTGCTCTGTATCTATGTGTTTGTTTCTGTTTTGTTTGTTTATTTTGTTCTTTAGATTCCACATATAAGCGAAATCATATGGCATTTGTCTTCCTTTGTCTGACTTACTGCATTCATCACAATGCCTTCTGGGTTCATCCATGTTGTTGCAGATGGCAAGGTTTCATTTTTTTTTATGGCTGAGTAATATTCTATCGTATATATGTACCACCTTTTCTTTATCCATTTTTCCATTGATAGACAGTCAGGCTGCCTCCATATCTTGGCTATTGTAAATAATGCTGCAATGAACATATGGATGCATGTCGCCTTCTGAGGTAGTGTTTTAGGTTTCCTCAGATAAATACCCACAGGTGGGATTACTGGGTCCTTCTTTGTCTCTTGTTATATCCTTTGTTTTAAAGTCCATTTTATCTATTATAAGTATTGCTACCTCAGCTCTTAAATTTTTTTTCATTTCCATTTTCATGAACTATCTTTTTCCATCCCTTTACTTTCATTCTCTGTGTGTCTTTAAATCTAAAGTGAGTCTCTTGTAGGCAGCATATATAAAGGTCTTGTTTTCTTATCCATTCAGCCCCAACCCCCATGTCTTTTGGTTGGAGCATTTAATCCATTTACATTTAAAGTAATTGTTGATAGATATGCAGTTATTGCCATTCTATTATTCATATTTTTTTATTTCTTCTCGTTCCCCTCCTCTTCCTCCTCCTCTTCCTCCTCCTCCTCTTCCTCCTTCTCCTCCCTCTAACATTCCTTGTAATACTGGTTTGGTGGTGATGAACTCCTTTAGCTTTTTCTTGTCTGGGAAGCTCTTTATCTGTCCTTTGGTTCTAAATGATAGCTTTACTGGGTAGAATAATCTTGGTTGCTGATCCTTGCTTTTCATCACTGATTATTTTGTGCCAATCCCTTCTCACCTGCAAAATTTCTATTGAGAAATCAGCTGACAATCTTATGGGAACTCCCTTATAGGTAACTAACAGTTTTCCTCTTGCTGCTTTTAAGATTTTTTTCTTTGTCTTTAACCTTTGGCATTTTAATTATAATATGTCTTGGTGTGGACCTCTTTGGTTTCATCTTGTTTGGGATTCTCTGTGCTTCCTGAGCTTGTATGTCTATTTCCTTTGCCAGGTTAGGGAAGTTTTGAGTCATTACTTTTTCAAATAGGTTTTCAGTTCTTTGCTTTCTCTCTTCTCCTTCTGGTGCCCCTATGATGTGAATGTTGGTATGCTTAATGTTGTCCCAGAGGCTCCTTAAACTGTCTTCATTTCTTAGGATTCTTTTTTCCTTTTTGTTGTTCTGATTAGGTGTTTTATGTACCTTAACTTCTAAATCACTGATTCAATCCTCTGCTTCATCTAATCTACTGTTGATTTCCTGAATGCATTCTTTATTTCAAGTATTGTATTCTTCATTTCTGACTGGTTCTTTTTTCATGTTTTCTATTTCCATTTTTATGTTTCCTATCTCTTTGTTGAAGTTCTCACTGAGATAACTGAGCATCCTTATAACCAGTGTTTTGAAGTCTGTGTCTGGTAGATTGCTCGTGTCCATTATTGTTTAGTTCTTTTTCTGGAGCTTTGTTCTGTTCTTTCATTTGAGACATATTTCTTTCCCCCCCTATTTTGGCTGTCTTTCTGTGTTTGTTTCTATTTATTAGGTAGAGGTGCTACATCTCTCAGTCTTAGTAGAGTGGCCTTATGTAGTAGGTGTCCCATGGGACCCAATGGCACATTCTCTCTGGTCACCTGAGCCAGGTGCTCCAGGTGTGTCCCTTGTGCCAGTTGTGTGTGCCCTCCTGTTGTAGTTGAACCTTGGTTGCTGTCTGCATATCAACGAGAGGGATTGACCCTCAAGCTGATTGGTTATGAGGATTGGCTGAGACTACAGTGGAGGAGTGCTTGTGCAGGACCTGACTCTATGGAGCAGGATTCACTTTAGCAGGGCTCTGCTGCCTGCCCAGTGTGCCCTTTGGGTGTATTGTTTATGGAGGCAGCCAGGTGGTGTTCCTGCTTGGTCTGAAGTTGGCCACCAGGTGTGTTGATCCTGAGGCCTCCTGGGAGGGGTTCCGTTGCAGGCCAAGTCCAGCAGCCACCTTTGCCCTGCCCAGGGTAACCTGGCATGAGCCACAGAGTGATCCGTAGATGTCTTTCACCCATGCTGGGCTTGGAGGTGCCTGGGAGATGCCAAGCCACCAACCAAGGCTGGCTGCCAGTAGCTTCTTTTAGGATTTTCCCTTATCTTCAATTTTTCAGCAGATGTAACTTGGTGTACCTATGTGTGGTTTTCTTTTTCTCCTGCTTAGATATTCTTACATCTGTTGGTTGATGTTTTTCTCCAAATTCAAGATATTTGGTGCATTATTTTTTCAAATACTTGTTTCCTGCTCCACTCATTATCCTTTCTTCTGAGATTCCAAAGACATAGGTTAGGCCACAGGTAACTGAGGATAATTTTTCTCAAAATTTTCTTTCTGTTCTTCAGATTGGTTTATTTATATTTGCAGTCTTCAGATTGGTTTATTTATATTTGTCTCCTTTAATTTCACTGTCCCATTTTTTCTCGAATATGCTGTTAAGCCCATCTAGTAAAAAATTCACTTCAGATATTATACTCCTCAGTTTCAGAAATTCCATTTGGTCCTTTTGGTGGTTTTTATATTGTGCCAAATTAACTAAGCTGGAAGTATATTTCCAGACTCACTTCCTTGTATGGTTCTAAGTTAGGGTTGGCCAAAAGAGAAGTTTTCATGAAATTTGTAAGACAGAAGTAAAGCAGCAACCATCACATGCTAAAGGTAAGTATCAGGCACTTGCATCTTGCTTGGAGCTGATCTTCTTGGAATGGGACAGCAGCCAGAATCAAAGCTTCCTCAGCTGCCAGTGCATCTCCTTCTCGAGTTACTCTGAGATCTGGGCCCTGTGACTGTAGCGCCATGTGAAGGGTACTTGCTCTTTCTGCAAGTCACCGACATCATGTGGTCAGAGGTAGTGAGAGACAGGTGTAGATTTTAGTTTTTTCTCATGGGTTCCAATTTTTCTTGCTTTCTCCCACATGTCATCCAGCTAACCTTCCCAACTGCTGGCCCTGTTGACCTATGATGACTTCAAGCTCACCACTAGATGTAGAGACACCATCTTTCCACAGACTTCTTCACCAGTTCCCCCATTTTCATAAAGTCTAACCCCTAGAATAAAATCTTATATTCATATCACTTGTAGTGGTTCTATTTCTATGATCAGACCCTAATCATTTATCTGCTGAAATTCTCCATCTGTTCACTCATTATGACCATTTTTTCAAAATCCTTGTGCATGTTTATCATATCTGCTTTAAAGTCCTTCTTCTAATTCCAACAACTGGGTCATCTCTGGGTCAGTTTTAACACCCCCTTTTCTCTTAACTATGTATCACATTTTCCTGTTTCCTTATGTCTGATAATGTTTATTGTATACTGGGTATTGTGAAGAATAGGTCAGAGATACATTGTCTTCCTCTGAAGAGTGCTGATTTTTAATCAGCAGAAAAATGATTGCCCGATCACCTTGAACTTATGGGGGCTTGGATTTACATCTTTGTTAGGGTGGTTCTATTTCAACTTTGTCTTTAGGTATAGGGTGAATCCCTGTGTCTAGACACATAGTTTTTACTCCTAAAGTGTAGCTGTTCTATGCTTTCAAAGGAAATTCTTAGGTGTTTATTAAGCCTCTCTACCTCAGTGTGACTCAGACTCCAAATTTTCCCACCATAGGCAGCAGCCGAAATCCCCTTCAACCTTTGTTTCTGCCTGCTTTTGGTCATTTTCATGTGCCTTTAAATATTTATTTTTTAATATTTGTCCAGATTTATAATTGTCATCTGCTGGAGAGGTAGTCTAATGTACGCTATTCCCTCGTGACTGAAACTTTGAGGTCATCTTTTAAGACTGAAGCAAAAGGAGGAGAGAAGGAAGGGATGGAGTATCCCTGAGTCCTGTTAACAGGAAAAGAGAGCTGGAGAGGTTTGGAGCATGAAAGTAAAGATAGTTTCCCATTGCTGGAAAAGAAAAGTGTGTGTGAGGAAGAGAGAGAGAGAGAGAGAGAGAGAGAGAGAGAGAACTCTAATCCTGTCTCCTCGAATCCCATGCATAAGGATTGGAAAGTAATGGAGAAACTTGAGGGAAAGTTACCCTAACTGCCTGTGCCAGTTGCTGCTGGTATGTGCTGGTGGAGGTGGAGGTGGGGGTGGAGGAGGTGGAGGTGGTGGTGGAGGTCTCAGTGGTAGAGATGCTGGAGGTGGTGGAGGTGGTGGAAGTGGTGGTGCAGGTAGAGGTGATGGTGGAGGCTTTGGAGGTGGGGTTGGTGCAGGCTGTAGGGGAGGTGGTAGTGGTGGTGTTAGAGGTGGTGGTAGTGTTTGTGTGTGTACACCATGCACCCAGATCAGCAAGATTAACTTGGAAGAGCCTGAAGGTTAGTAAAGAATACCATGTCTCTCTCTTCCTCCCCACTGCTAATTATTTGGTCTAAACTGTCAAACAACATGGAAATAATAATTTTAAAAAAGGGGTCCTGCATAATATGCTCCAGGATACTCTGCTTTTCTGAATTGCTTTTTTTAACATATCCGGGATATCTGATCAGGATGCTACTGATGGATTAGAAATTATGACACCTGTTAGTGGTCCATATTTTGGGGCGAACAGCCTGCTATCAAGGTGGCAAGTAGGCCTGTAGGCCAAACCTGGACTCATTACAAATCTTGTATCCTAGACAGTGGCCCAGATTGTGTCTCTAACATGTTTGGAATTAGTTGTACACATTTAAAAATGTGTAATCCTAGCTGTCTTCTTTAGATGGAGCATGTACTCCCTCGTTTGCCATGGTTCCCAGCCACCCCCGCCCATGCCAAAGCTTGTCTGCTTCTCTCACTCTCACTTCTAACATGGCCTATCCTGGCCTCATAGGTTTTTGAGTTTGTGAAAATCCTGGTTTAAATCAGGCTGGGGGTGCTAGTACTATCCTTGGTAATGTCACCATAGTTGCCTGTCTGCAGTTTAGGGGAGAGGTAGAAAGGTCTGAATCGATCCACGGGAAATAAGGATGCTTGTGAAATCCTGGGAGAACAGCAAAACAAGTTCCCACCTGCCCAGAGGATGGCTTGAATGATAACAGGTATCCCTGCATGCTTTAAGAAAGCTTCCCTTGGCCTGGACCTGAAGAATGTTTCTATGCAGGAACAAACTTGTCAGGGGAGGTACGCCACTGAGCTGGAATTGATTGGCAGGCAAGAAAGCAAGGGGACTGCCCATGACTCTGAAAAGGGGAGGATATGTAGGGCAGACAGAGCAGTTGGTAGTGAGCAAATTGGGGCACCATGGGGAAGAGGGGCATCATTATAGACCAGAGGAGAGAGAGGCTGGATACCACCACCAGAGTGGCCTTTGTACAGCAAAATGTCCTACACATGGTGCAGGTGCAGTAGCTTCTGGGTGTGGGAGAAAAGAGATGAAAAATCAAAGAGGGCAGAGTTTTGATATGATGGGGTAGAGGGAGAGGAGAAGAAGTTTTAAACATAGAATAGAAATGCTATTCTAAAGAGACTTGGGAAATTGTTAGGGCTGGAGAATGAGCCGAGAACTCAGGGCCAGTCCTAAAAAAAGGCCTTATACAGTAGTGGTCAGGAGTGTGTGGTCTAGAATCAGATCCATGTGGGCCTTGCTGTTAATCATCTAGGTGACCCTAGGCAATCTGTTAGCCTCTCTGAATTTCCTCATCTGTAACATGGGGGTAAGATAGTATCTACTTCATACGGTTGTGAACATTAAGGTTGTGAATACTTATTAAGTGCTTAGTCCCATTTCTAATAAATATTAGCTGCTATCATTATTGTTAACAATAGTAGTAGTAAGGCATGAACAACTGCGTGCTATAAAATATCCATCATTGTCATGATCATTCCCATCAACCCCCTACTTCGCTTTGTTTAAGCACCCATGTGTCAGGGAGCCTTTGTTAAATTGACAATTTAACCAGGAGGGTTTATTAGCAGCAAAGAACAAACTTTGAAGGGATGGGCAGAGTTTCAGGAGAAGTTCAGACTGCCTGAATCTGATTAGGACTCTCCCTTGGTGGCGTTAGGAAGTGTGAAGGCAGCATGAGAAGGAAATGATGGAAGACAAACTATACCCTCTTCCTAAGTTAGTCTGAATTACATGTAGCCTAGTCATACTCAGATCTGCCTTAAAATTGCTGTATGCCATAGGCATGTTAAAATTTTCACTACAGTATGAAAAACAGTCCTACCTTAACTGCTCTGACAGGGCTGGGCTAGGTGAGAGCTCTCTTATGCATGTGAACAAGAATCTGGTTGGGATAAAGGTGGAGGCACATGGAAGAAACCTCTATATTTTTGGATCAAGAGAAACAGCTACTGAAAATGATGGCCTCACATCACTGATATTGCCCAGTCATCTACAGGAGGCCTTTCTTAGCCCAGAACTCAGAAAAAGCAGGCAGATGACACAGAAATCAGATTTGATCCTAGTGACAATCAGTCCGTGCATCTCAAAGGAATACAATAAATGGCTTTTCCTTCCCAGTGTTTTTCTGTTTGGCTTCCGTGGAGGTCTGTGTTTGTGGAGGAACTTGGGTCTAATTGTTGCAGACAGACGCCTGTGTTCTTTTAGCTGAGGCAGATGGACAAGAGGTGGAGAAGGTGGGGGTGGCTGTGAGGGAGGAGGTGACATTTGTAAATATGTCAAGGGACAATGAAAATTCGCTGCAAACGCATTGCAAACTTTTAAATGAGAAGATGTAATAATCTTTTCTAAATGATGTGGGCCTGTGAAGACAGTAATGGTGTCGGTGAAGGTATTGGTTCCTGATCATCTGTGGTTACAGGGGATGAAAATAAGCTATAGGGAATAGCAATTATTTTTAACTTCTTCCCATATAACACGTGTTACAGGAGCTGCTACCAATTTGCAAAATTAACTGTCACTTTCCCCCTTTCCTTTATAAACAACAAAAGGGCTAAATGGCAGGCAGCAAAAAGAAAAGAAGAGTTGTAAACGGCTTGGGCTAACCTACTGCGTTGCTTAGTAGTTGCCCAAAACCAACCGCTGATGTGAGCGATAATTGCTTGGCCAGATGCTTTTGTGGGGCTGATGCACACACTTGGATATGCTGTCTAATCAAGCTATAGCAAGTTCCTAAGTCTTCAGCTCTAATTCAGCTAAGCCCAAGTTCCTTGTCATCACTCCAAACCTCAACTGGAGGCAATGCTGCCTCCTGGGACCAGACCCTAGTTCTTCCTCCCTGGTACCTTACCCCTTTGTCCAGTGGCACTTTCACATCCATGGAGAGAGAACCCGTTTCCCCATTGATCATGGCTGTTCTCAGCTTCAAGAGGAAAGATAATGGAATTAGTTTGTTGGCTCACACTGGAGGACTTTACTGACCAGATGGGCGATGATTCCCCAGGAACACTTTGGGGTCTGTTGGGAGCCATGCAGGCTGGCTTTACTGAAGCATAACTTGTTTTGCTTCTTGTTTTGCTCCTTTCTGTACCTGGAGGGTGCTCACTTAACCTTGAGGTATGTGGTGAGAATGGCCAGTTCCTTGGGAGACACAATAAGATAGAGGGCTATCTGAGTTTATGGAAGAAAGTGTCCTGGGAAGCTGACCCTCTAAGTTTTCCACTGACCTTCAAGTTTCTAGTAGATAGCTAATGATGTACTTTTGAATGAGGTAATGCATATTTGTCCCTTCTGTGTTGCACGTACCCTGGATGTATATAATGGTGAAGGAAAATAAATTCGAGGCTGGTTGCTAAGAATGCTTCCAGTCCTCCCAGACCTCCTTTGTCTCTTTCTTTCTTTCTAAGCCTCACCCCCCACTTCAGGTGTTGTTCACTGGAACGCCGAGGCAGGACCCCGGCAGGGGTCTTCCCTTTTTCCTCTGAGCAGAACACCAGGAGGAAATAGAGACCTGATTCTAGGTTCCATTTAGCTTATAATTCTGGAAATTCACCAAGATAATGTTCCAAAGTGGACTGATATGTGAGGGAACATAGTGTCATATTACTGAAACATAATTTCCTTTAGGATGAGCTACTGACACCAAAAGCCAGACTAAAAACTTCATTGGAACTCAAACTTTGTAGCTTATAGACACAAGCTCATGCAGCCTCAGTAATCCTTGTGATTTAGGAAGATACTGTTATATTTTGCTAGTTGTTGGAAGAATTTCCCATTATAGTAATTGCTTCTGGTTTTGAGCTTGGAAGGCTCCACTAAGAGGCATAGCATGACCTCAGAGCTTACAGTCACACAGCTGGCCCGTGTGTTGACTGCAGAGCTAAACCAGCCCCTCATTCTCCCACTTTCCCCACTCACGACTTCAGCTCGGTCTTCCCACTCCACTTCAGAGAGATCCACGCTATTGTAGTTAGGTTTGGGTTTCAGTTTCTTTCCCTCTCGGTACTGGAGTAGGCAGGTCAGGAAGAAAAACACGAGGTTAATTTAACATAAGGCCCCGCTCAAGTTTCATGTCTTTTATAAAGCCTTCTAGGTATATTCAGAAAATCAAAGAATCTCAGTGATTCCTTAAGGTTACCTGGGCCAGCTTTTTACCCAATGCAGAGCTTCCTGTGTCAACATTTGTGACAGATGGTCTCATGGCCTCTGAATGAATATGTCCCATAATGAGAAGCTCCATATTTTTGAGTCAGCTTGTCACAGTTTTAGACGACTCTAATTGTTAGGAAGTTCTTCCTCACACAGAGTTGCGATCTGCCCCCCTGTAACTTTTACCGTGGCACTCAGTTCTTTTCCCTGAGCAACATAGAACACCTTGCACCTGACAACCTTTGAGATTTCTGAAGGTACTTGTCACTCCTAAAGCTTCCCGTCTCCAAGCTAAACATTCCCAGTTCGCAGACGCCTCAACTCCCTCTGAATATGCCCTACTTGGTCAGTGTCACTCTCAAAATGGAGTGCCCAGGACAAAAGTCAGTATTTCCGATGGGGCCTGACCAGTGTGGTGTGGGGTGTGAACTGTGTGGACCAAATATCATATGGCTCTGACGGCATCCTCTGACTCAGCTGGACGCCCAGGACAGCGACGCTGCCCTGATAGCACAGATCGAGTTTTGAGTCCAGTAAGTCCCCTGGGCCCTCCTCACGTGATGCACTGTTAAATTACATCTTTACAACCTGTGCTTGAGCACTGAGTATTTTGCAGAACTTTCCACGCATCCCTAATATATTTCATCTTGTTAACTTCAGCCCAGTGCTTTAGAAAAGTACTTCCTGAATACTAATGTTCTCACTTTAAGTATTAGCCATTCCTTCCAGACTTTGTGGCATCTGTCTCCTGTGTTTTCATTTTGTTGATAGACTTTTTGAATGGGATAGAGCCAAGGACAGATAGATTTTATGGTGCCTAATAAAAACCTCTTTCCAGTTTGATGTAAAACTATTAATCAACACTTTGAATGTTATTATTATCAATTTATCTGCTATTAGGGCTGCACCACTTCCCAGGTTTGTTTAGTAATAGATCAAATAAAGTAAGAGAATAGTTTTTCATCAGGGTGAGTTAAGAATCAATCAGAGGGCTTCCTTTTAGCAGAATGAAGCCTCCTGTAGATGCTTGAATGGTTGAAGGTCCCTATCACTTGCTTCTGCCAGTTTTTTCTTTTTCCAAGAAAGCCTCCTCCTTATTTCTGGCCTGTGCAGGAGATCTGTAGTAAAAGCGCCACAACATTCTCCCCCTTCCATTCTTCTCTAGTTGCCCTTGCCCGTACTTGGATGATGCTCCTTCTTGGCCTTATTGATGTCTACGCTCATGACAGACAGCACTGTCCTGCATTCTGTGACACTGGATCTGCTTCCTTTGAGTAAGGTGCAACATTCTTCATTCATTGCCACTTTCTAATTCCTGACGATGCCTGAAAGATCTTCTTTAGCTCCTCATACTAGAACCATAATTCCACTTTGTTAATTGGTCATAATTTGGGCACTGACATAGAAAGATTTCAGGCCAAAAGTGTGGCTCCTGACCCTCATTCAATTTGTTACTCACCATATCCTCTATCACTTTTCTTTTTTAAACATAACTGTTATTCTCCTTAATACCTGTCATAAATTGATTCCTTTCCTTAGGGATCTCACTAAGTTGTCTTTACTATAACTTTTGTTATATAATAATGTTCTACATGGTATTATCCTCGCATTTTTTCATTTGTGTAAGTCTAATTGTGTACAGTCCATTTCCTTAATTAGACTATAAACTTCTGTTATAGTCAGGGCATTATAAGGCTAGCCACACAGTAGGTCGCCAATATGAAGCCATCAGTTGAAGTCTTATATCATCTAAATTGCATAGGTGGTGCTAGATGGGCTTCTGACCAATGCCCTTTCATTCTACAAGTCAGCTCCTATACCAACACATTTATTATTTCCCTAGTGGCTCATTTGTTGGCATTGAGGGCAGTCAATGACCCATTGTGGTCACAGACTCCCAGCAGAGTCTGAATTGGGAAGACAGAGTGCTTTCCAGTGTGTCCTGATCTCTTTCTACTTTGAACCTCTATAGCTTGCCTTAAGTAGCTCAGTCAGTTGCCTAATGGATACTCAGTATTTATCTGAACCAAATGGAATAGAATGGAATGTGACTTTGACTGATCTCTCCAAATGGCACCTGAAACGGATGAGCCCCTTAGTAAGTTTCTGGAAAAGTGCTCTGTTATTGTCCTCAGCTGCCACCTCAATTCAGTATAAGACTGGCAGAGGGGGGAAGGTTACGATTCCTCTAGGACAAACTCCCTTCTCCCTGACACCTCCAACAACCACACTGAGAGGTGTGTCGTTATTGCCATGGCCAGAGGTAGAGCAGTAGGGAGCCCCTAGCCCTGGAAGTAGAACTTTTAGACAAAATGATGAAACTTTCTCCCTTGGCCATTTGCTGTTTGGTTGAACGCAGGTGAAAGTGCCATCTCTCACCAGACAGTTCCTCTGACATTTTTATTGTTAACTCAACATTCACACCCCCTGGGAGATCTGCTGATACCACTGTCAGACTCCAAGAGGGAGTGTGGAGTTACTGAGGCAGTGACGGGAACCTAAGTGGCTGTGTCTTACAGGGAAACTGCACACTTCATCACATGCTCTCCAGACTGTTCCTCAATTAGTTCATGTATTTTTACCTTGTCTCTCTTGCTAGATTATAAATAGTTTGCAAACAGGGACCATGACTTAAATTTTTGTTTCTCATATTGCCCCTTGGGTCCTTAAATGGAGCCCAGTGTGTGTTCATTGTTTGAACTGTTTTAATGAACTACCCCAAATCTCATGAAGTTAAGATCCCAAGACAAATAAGATCTGTACTTACTAGGGGTCGGAGGTCAGGATGTGAGAGGATATAGCCATTGTTGGTATTCAAAAAGGCATAGCCATGCACTCCGAGCTACAAACACAAGTTGGAGGGCATTAGACCTGCTGTTTGTGTTGGAGAACTGCAGGTGAGAAGGGGTGGGGCCCAAGGGCTGTTAAAAGATGGCAGCACACAGCAGTGAGTTTTCAGATAGGAATATAAGTGAGCCAGTGCTGTGCTTCCAGCCATTAATTCTGCACTCCTTTCCAAATGCTAATGTTTACGGCAGCCATAACAATGTATACCTTTACCTGGCATCTCCCCACCACGTGCTTTAGGTGCTTTGATGATATAATCTCACTCGTTCCCAAAACAGGACTGTGGGTCATGGAGGAGCAGATTGAGAAACTGAGGCACCAGGAAGGGAAAGATCTTGCTAAAGACCACAGAACAAATCAGAGCGGGTGATGACAAAGGGCCCCCAGGAGTCTAAGCCACTGCTTTCATTGTCAATGCCTGCTCTTCTCTGGGGCGGGATGGCAGGGCCCATCCCAGCTCGGCGTGGCTGTGCTGTATGCAGCAGAGAGGCTCCTGAGCCTGGTGGAATGGCTCCTGGGGAGCCTGTGACCCCCAATCAGGGACCTGTCCCAGGCTTACCTTGTACCGAGGCACCAGCTTCATCAGCTCTCTCAGGGCCACATCAGAGCCCACCACCCCCAGGAGAATGCCGTGTGACCGCTGGAAGGAAGAACACCAGGGTCAGGGGGGACCTGGCTTCTCTGAACGCAAGGCCAGACCAGACCTTGGCCTTCTCAGAGCCCAGAAGGAGAAGCCACGTAGGCCTTACATGGTCTCTCCCCTGCAGTTAGATTTCAGGCTGAGCTCCCCTGGAATAAAATCTAGAGCCTAACACAGAGGCCCCAGGAGTAATCTCAGCTGCTGGGAAGATTAATGTCCAAAATTAATATTTAAACTGTAATTTTTAAATGAAATACAAAATTGAATGAAATATTAATCTTCATAGCAAAAACTGAAGGACTATGATCCCCGGGACCCTAATCTATGAGTGCTCTGAAACATACAGGGCCTGTCGGGAAACATTTCCTAGTCAGATGGAGGGTGGAAGACTCTAGAAGTTCCCTCACCAGAGGCCTTTACAAATAACTTAGAGTCTGCCCAAACTGGTAGGCAAAATGCGGTTTTGCTGAAAGGCTGGCAGGCAGCTCTTTTAGTTCTATATCCCCAAGGCAGTGGCCCCAAGTGCAGAGCAAGCGGGACAGCTCCAAGCCAGCTGAGCAGAATGCTGGGGAGTTTGGGGAGTCTGGACCAATCCCCACCACTCACGGCACCCCCTCCCAACCCAAAGATTCTGATGTAGGTAGCTGGGCACAGGGCCTCAGATCTGCATTTACAGCCCTCACACAGCCAGGCCGAGGACCCTTGGTCTACAGATGCCAGTGGTGGCCCCCAGTTCTAATCCCTGCCACAGCAACTCAGGGAGGAGCCACTCACAGTTTCATTCTTCTTGCTGAAGACCGGCATGGCCACAGTGGTAAGGAGCATCAGGCTCTGTGCCTGCGAGGTGAAGAGCTGTCAAGAAGGAAAGAACCAAGGAGAGAGGGCTCAGAGTCCACAGAGCAGAGGACCCACAGTCATTGAGTCAACTATTCAGTGTCACCTCCAACAGGAGGAGGAAATCCCAGATGAGGTTTCCCTTCTCTGCACAGGGACAGCTGGCAGAAATGCTGGAGGAGAGAGGTGGGTTGGGGACAAGGACCAGGCTAACATCACTCAGCAAGGAAAGTCCTAAACCAGGGTGGGCAAACCTCAGAATCACAGAGCCCACAGCCCAGCTCTTGGCTCGGATGAGCACAAACAGGCCCATCGGGCATGCTCAGAAACAAAGACGTTTAGCACAGCAAGAGCTCTTCCAAAAATTTCTGCCATGGACACAAGGTTGGCACAAACTACAGCCCAAGCCAGTTAAGAGGGAGAGGAACACTGACGCCGAGTCATCTGCAAACACAAGTGTGAGGGACCACAGCAGGAAAGCAGGCTGTGGTGTCATAGCCAGCCCCGGGTCACCCCTCCCACGGGGTGGACCCACAACCTCTTCCCCGCTCAAACCCCAGAGCCACAGCCTTCCCTCCCAGCCTCTGAGATGGCCTTCTTCCTGACTCCTCAGCTCATGGTGCTGGCTCCTCCAGCCCCCTTGGAAGGGGCTGCACACATGCACCCACTTTACCTCGAAGGTGGGCCCTGAGAAGTGGTATGTGCAGGGGTGTCTGATAAGTGACCTCTGGACCGGCTGAAAGAGGCTGCCTAGCCATAGAAGTTTACAGTCGACCTTCTTGGAGAACGAACAACTTTTTAACCATCAAGCCTCCTTCCCCTTCTTCATCTGATTTTTCAGGTTAGAGTTTGGAAGTGAGTTTTCTGAAAGTGAATGGTTTCGGTTGACTAGAGTTCCACTAGCCAGTTGGACCAGGAGGTTCATAGGGATGGCCAAGGGAACAGCAGGAAGGGGCCCGGGGCCCGTGACCAGGAAGCTCCTCATCAGCTCTGGGCTGGCCACCTCAAGACTTCTTTTACGTGTGGGAGAAATATACTTTTATTTAAGCCACTATTTTCAGGTCACTCTTAATCTTAGTTTGATACATCATCATTGAAGCAGGTGTCTGTATATGTGATATGATTTGAAAGGCACCAGGAAGGTCCCTGTTCTCCCAAACTTTTCATCTGACATTCCACCTTCGCTATCTCTTCCTTTGTGTAAGTCATTGCTGTCTGCAGGCAATCTCTGAAAATTCAGAGGCCAGGAAGGGGGACACTTCATGAAGGTACAGTGTCTTGAATTACTGGTTGGACTCCTTTTTTCTCTATGCCAGGTGAGAGAGAGGACAATGAAGGAGGTGAGGACAGCAAGAAGGAGGGAGGAACAAGTTTGGAGCAGAGGGGCTCTGCCCACGAAGGGCAGCCCCAGGCAGTTCTGCTTACAGGATTTTCAGGCCTCTGGGCAGCATGCAGGTAATGGACCTGTTAGTGGGTGAGTGTTCACCCCCTTCACCACATTTCTCAAGGTGCTCTGCTCACTCGGCTCCTTACCCAGGAAGTCACCTCTTACACTCTGGGGTCCCTAACTCTGGAGCAGGTCAGGGCCCCACCTTGCTGTCCATGTAAGCTTCCGTCCAGGTGATGTCGTGGTCATGGTTGATGACCATGGGGCGGCTGAGCACGTGCAGATACTCCATCACGTTCTCCTGGGCATCTGCCAGAGTGGAGATCTGCGTGTAGTAGCCTGGTGGGGGTGGGGAGGCATGTGGTGTGGAAGGCTGGTGCTCATGTGGAACCCCTCTGCAGGGCCCACACTCTTTCCCTGCTATTGATGGCTCAGAACTGGGCAGTGGTGCTGATGGGCGTTCGAAGGCCCAGCCCCTGCCTCAACTTGGGAGAATTCTGAGGGACCATCCCAGGTCCAGTGCTGCCACAGGAGCAAGGGCCTGTGGGTCAGCTTCTCCCTCTCACAGTACTGCCCTTCTCTCTCCTGCATGCCTCCCTTTTGCATGCAACTCTGTCCCAGGGTCTGTTTCTAGGGACCCCCATCTAAGACAGTGGTCACAACCCCCCACTTCCTCTTTCCTCTGACTGTCTTTCCTCAGTTATGGAGAGGGGTGCCATAGCTTTTTTGCTGTAGCCACAGGTGATCTTTAAAATAGCAAACGGCTTGTAAGGCTATGAATGACTTAACACATGCTTACCTCTCTGGTCTCACTGCTTATCACCTCCCACAAAACATTCATTCCACACTCCAGTAAAGTAGAACAGCTTTCAGTTCCCAGCATGCCTCTTGTCTCAAATGCTCTGTCTGGAACACCTTTTCCTGTTCTCTGTGTCTGGCTGACTCCTACCACATTTTCCTTCCTTCCTTCCTTCCTCCCTCCCACCCTCCCTCCCTCTCTCTCTCTCTCTCTCTCTCTCCTCTCTCTCTCTCTCTCTCTCCCTCATCTTTATTATTAGTTTCAGGTGTACAAAACAACATAATGATTAGACATTTATATACCTCACAAAGTGATAACCCCAATAAGTCTATTATCCATCTGACACCGTACGTAGTTACTACAACATTATTGAATATATTCCCCATCTGCACCTTATGTCCCATGAGTATTATTTTTAAATTATAGTTGACATTCAGTATTATTTCATATTAGTTTCAGGGGTGCAGCATAGTTCCTACCGGTTCTTTATATCTCAGCCTAGACACCCTTTCCTTTAGGAAGCTTTCCCTGCCAAATGGGGGAAGTGCCTCTCCAATCCCAACCCCAGTGCCCTGTACCATCTATACCCCTTCATCCTCACAGCGCATTTCAGATTATATCATCATTGATGGTTCACTTGTTTGTGCCCCCAGCTGGACAACAGCAAGAGCAAGACTGATTCTGTGCTGACCACAACCTGGAAACCGCCAGGTACACAGTAAAGGCCTTAGTCAAGCTTGGTTGAATCAAACCCAGTTGGCACCTGGAGGCCCAAATATTGGGTTCTGGCCAGAGGCAGATGAGGACTGTTTGTATGCAAAACAGTATTCTAAAGAAAATGATGACCCTCTGCTTTTTGTTTGGGAGTAGAGTCAGAGCAAGTGGGCTTCACTTGCAGAAAAAGAATGGAGGCTGGACACCAGCGAGAACTTACTTTATAATGTCAGTCCCACCCTGCCTCGCTCTGCCCATACTGAGGCTTCTCAAAGGCTGTATTTGAAGAGAGAGTTCTCTCTTCTGCAAACACTGGCTAGATGGCCTCTAAGTTTCATTTCAGGTGACTTTATGACTTAGATTCTCTGCAGGAGTAACCAAGGCTTTACGGAGCGATCTGCATTTTGTCTTGCTTTTTCCAAGTGAGAAGGAGGGGCAGATGCTGTCAGCTCCACACAGCACCTGTGGTGATGGGTAACGCTGTAGCACCTGTGCTCAGATACAGGCTGCCAGGCACTGCCCACATGTCACCTACCTTTGTTGTTGCATGCAATCCACCTCATGCGGTCAGCAAAAGTGACTTCTCTCCCAATAAGGTAAGTGAAAACTCGGACCTAATCCACAAGACACAGATGGACTCAGCAGCCAGAACCCCTGGCCATGACTGGTGTTAACATAATTGACGTGTGTCTTCCATGTCAGATCAGGCACTTGGCTGACTTGGGATTCTCCACTCTCACTCCTTTGGATCAGAAAGGACCCTGGGGCCTGGCAGCAGCGGTACCTGCCAGGTCCATGGTGAACATGGGGCAGGTAGAGGATGAAGGTCACAGCCCAGCAGTTTTCACGTCTCAACGCCGTATTCTGGTCTCTCACCCTGAGCGCTCTCCCACCAGCCTTCTGTGCCCACAGTCATTATAATTTTGGAACACCAATCTGGGACATCTGAATTTACCAATGGGCAGACCACTTGAACTCAGGGATTCTCTGGGCCGTCCCATCATGGCAGCAGGAGAACGCTCCCCTTGGTCCCCTCCCTTCCACCCTCGACCACCACGAGGAGAGTAACCTTGCAATCCGGCCAGTTATACTTCTCAAACACTGGCTCATAGTCCTCTATGGCCCCATCGGTGACCAGCATGATGGCCTGGTTGCAGAGGCTTCCTTGCCTGGCATCTTGGAACTGTGCAGGGAGAGGGCTCCATGACGGCAGGCTATGCACTGTCCCCCACTCCCCGCGCTCCCAGCCCATCTCCCACTCCTCCACTCCCCTCAGCTTCCTCAGGTGCAGTACCTGCTTCAGGATCTGAAAGGCTTCCCTCAGAGCTTGGTCCACGACCCCCACACCTTTAACCATCAGCTTGTCCACCAGTTGTTTAAAATGCTGTTGTGGTTAAGAAACCAGAGGAGGGTCAGTGGCCCGAGTGGGCAAGGGAAGCTTCATCTGTGGTCTTAATTTCAGAGGTCGTTTAGAGCTATTTGTCTAGAAGGACATGATCATGGAATCCATCTCTCCACGATCCAGCTATGGCTGGACCCCTAACAACAGATGTTTCTCAAATGCCACCAAGATAAACTGAGAGAGTATGAGTAGCTGGGTGCCAATGTAGCCCCACTACTGGAAGGAAATGCCAGTGAGTTCAACAGAGCAAGGAGACCAGTCCAGGGCAATGCCCAGGTTCCCAGGTCCCCAGCATCTCAGCTGTTACTCCAACGGTGAGCATATCCTTCCACAGGAAACACCATGGTGGCTGCCAGGGCCTCCAACTCAAGGCTAGGAATCAGGGGAGCCAAACCCAAATTTTCCAGCCAAGGAGGGAAGGATCTGTGACATGCAAACCCTCCCTAAAAAACGTCACCATATCTCCTTGGCCTCTGAAAAAGACTTAGCATAGTGGGTTTGAATTTCTCCTCCTTTTGGGGAAGCTCCTCATGAAAGCCAACACAGGGGGAAGGCCCACAGGGGAGGCAAAGGGAGAAACTGAGTTCTGGATAAACCACAGAGTGAAAAAACTAGTCCCGAAGAAGTGAGATCTTCCTTAAATTGGAGGTCTCTCTTTGCCCCTCTTTGCCGTGATAGGCAAGCAGCATATTCATGAGGGCATTTTCCTGGGTGTATCTGCATGGGTAACTGCGACCTGCTTTGCCCCTTTCCAAGTGCACAAGAATGAATTAAAGGGGCCATCAGGCAGCTGCACAGATGACTCCCAGCACTCTAACCAGAACAGGTGCTCAGAAGCATCAGGCGCTCTGCAGATGGGACACTCACCTCGCGGTTGTCTCGGTCTGCCTGGACAAGGATCCCTTTAAAACAAGGCTCGATGTAATGGATGTAATCACTGTACTGCAGTGGCAGAGGGCAGAGGGGAGGGGAGAACAGAGAGGGTCAGTGCCGAAACTCAGGCCACTCGCAGGGTGGTCAGGGATGGGGGCACTGAGGCACCTGTGTATGTGATCTTGGGGTACCCTATGCTTTTGGCAATTTTCTGAGCAGAGAGGTGGGAGTACAGAGAACAGCAGGGCTTTCACTCTAAAAGTCCTCCCTCAAATCCTGGTCAGGCTAGGTCTTGGGTGGCTGTTATGTCCATCTCCTGGGGCACACAGAGAACCATAATTTATGGAGACAATTTCTCTTGTGTCTGCCATCAAAACCAGACAGAGTGCCCTCCACGGGACTCCCACAGCCTTCGAAGCACACACCCCTCCCCAGGGCCTGGGTCCGGGGATAAGAAACTGTGCTCTCTTTCTTTGTCCTGTATTTCTCTTCCTCCTTTAGCTATCAACAGGGACTGGGAGTAGAAAGAAAAACGAATTATTACTGCCCCTTTTCTTAATCACCCCACTGCCCCATAGTTAAAATTCAAATCTTGCTGGTGTCCTTAATCCACTTCTGCTTAAATAAGAGAAGAGGAGAGTGGACATGGTGGTGGCATCATGGTAGGACTGCATATGTATCCTAGGGAGACTGTTGGGGTGATCTGGAGGAATGTTGGGAGTGAATGCTTCCTCTCATTGCTACGCCCTAAAGAACTGGAGAACTGGAGTGGGCTGGGGGAGGAAGAGTTGGGCGGGAGGGCCAGGCAGGCTTCAGGGAGGAGCAGGAGCACACTCCCACCTTCGGAGTGGTAGGACCTGCTTCCAGTCAGGAACAGAGAAGGAGAGGTGGTAAAGCTGGGGAGCACGGGGTTCAGGAGTGATGCAGGTGGGTAAGTGACACAGGCCTCAGGGAGCAACTCAGGGATGAGGGGGCCATTCTCATGCCCCAAGATGACCATTTTGAAGTTAGACCATGTAGCCTTGGTATTCTTTGTTAGATAAGTAAATTCCACTAAAGATAAACATTTTCAGCAATGTGACAGGCCGGTGGAGCTACGTTTTGGATTAGTTAGCTTTCAGAATGGTACCCCTAGGTGGCTGTCAGCTCTGCCTCTGTTTTCATTGTACTTGAAAGCATTCTCCTAACACATCCCCTTTTCTTCCTGCTCTCTCTCTTTCCTTCATTACCTTTCTGGGGCAGGCAGAGCTAGCCTCAGGAGGAGTTGCTATGTAAGCAATGAGGCGCCCCCCCCGCTTCCCATCTACTTTCTTCTTTCTCCCAGTGTGTCTGGATTTGGGTTGATGAAAGAAGTTGGGGAACTGGGATTCTTGTAAAGCAGGAGCCGGGGATCACTCATCCTACAGCAGAATGGAGAGGCTGTTCAGCGATGGGTGCCAGTCAAGAGCGCATGGATGGGATGCATCAAATTTTACTCAGGGCCAGTGCTTCTTAATCTTTGTGAGATCTCAGACCCATCTGAGAAACTGATTAACTCTACAGACTCAGAAAAATGGGCATATCCATGTTACACGTAATTTCAGAAATCCTATGGACCTCTTGAAGTCCATCCTTGGTTCAACCTTAGGATGGATCCTAGGTTAGAATCCCTGGCTTCAGACAAGAGAATCATTCTACAGTCTGAAGCATCATGCGATTGTAAGTATAGGTCATTGCAGTGCAGGCAGAGGAAAGATGTTTCTAGAAAGAGGGAGAGCTAGTCTAGAGCAGAAGGTACATTTACCGCAATGATATTAACAAAGTCATTCTCTCCCAGCGTGTCCAAGATGGTAGAGACCGTGTGCTTGGCGATCGTCATCCGCAGCCCCTTCATGCTGCCACTGGTGTCCACCACAATCACTATGTCCTTGGGGGAAGTAGCGGCTTGAATGTACCTTTAGCAGAAAGAAAGGGACAGGCCAATGATGGGAAATGAAAGCCAGAGCAACCACCCAACAAAGTCTCAAGTTAATTTTGTGCAGATTCTGGCTCAAGTGTTCCAAAGCTCAGGTCAGTGCCCCATGGATGCCAGGTTGTATCATGGCCCATAACCACTCAGCAGCGTTCTGAAGCCACTTTGGGGCATCAGTTAGATAGGCATGTGCCCATCTAATGGGCTTGTCTAATGGGGAAAAGATCAAGCTCTGGGGGGAATCTTGTCTTCTTTTGTTTTGGACCAACCAGGATCCCCGAGGGTTGGGCAGCAGGAAGGGGGAGAATGGGATTCCACCTTCAGATTCTGTTATAAATCTGCCAGAGGAGGGGTGTGGCAGGAGAGGAGAGCCTGGCAGAGGGTTGGTGTGGAGACAGCTCAGTGTCCTGGAAGGAGCTTTGGGGTGGGAAAGACAGATGTGATCAGTCCTAGAACAAGGGCAGCTATGGAGAGAAGGGAGGGACACAACTTCTTCCTACTTTTGGTTGTTAAAGATCTACACATCTGAGGCCATTGGATGGAGGTGGGGGCGGGGACTGAAGGAGAGGTAGGCAAAACCCAAAGGTGATAAGAGATGCCAGCACCGGAGGTCTTTCCCTTCGGAACGCTTACCAGCCGCGGGTCCGGCAGTCGAAGGTAATGACTCCATTCTCATCAGGCGTCCATTTGATGCCTGGGGAAATAAAGCCTGCTTCTTTCACTGGCTCAGTGAGGCTGCTCCAGAGCCCCTTACTGAGTGCTGACATCCAGGATGGCATGGCCACCAGGGCAAGGCCAGCTGTGGCCCTGGGCAGCAGGGTGTGGAACCACTAGAGCACACCCTGTAAACTGAGGTAATAGGTAAGGAGGGAGGCCAGCTCTGTGGAGGGATGCCCCCACCTACATTGCCCAGATCCAGAGCTGAGGTTAATTTCACACATAGAACCCCCATATGTTGTGCCTGGGACTCATTTGTGAGCTAAATAAACCTCACATCAAATTGTGGAAGGGGGAGCTACAAGATGGTATGGCTTTTCACATCCATTAACATCCTGACAGAAGTCTGACAGAATGGTGGGAGAGCCACGTGCTTCTAGCCCACCTGCCTCTAGCCAGGTGACCTGGGAGTGCTCACGGTCCTTCCTGTTAGCCGGCTGAGGGGAATGATTTGGCTGTAAGACTGTACACACTTTGAGGTCAGAAATTACCAGTACAGGCACACCTCATTTTATTGTATGTTGCTTTACAGCACTTCACAGATGCTGCATGGTTTTACAAATCAAAGGCAAGGCCCTCCACCAGCAAAAAGACTATGACTCGCTTTTTTGAGAAACTCACTTTATTGAGGTAGTCGGGAACCGAACCTACAGTCTCCAAGATATGCCTGTATGTGGCACAGTGTCTGACAGCACCTGGCAGAGTTGATGCCCCATAAATGTTTGTTATATGAATTAAAGAACAAATTAATGAGTGTGAAAGATCTTGCTTTGACCCACTAGTAGTGTACTGGGGTAAATTTTACCCAAAAATTTGGATAAAAGCACACAAAGCAAAGATAACACTAACATGATCCATGATAGAATCTCTATTTGAAAAGACTTTAATGATAGTGCATTCAAAATAAGAAGATTAAAAACAACAGGTGAATTTTTTTTAAATTGGGGAACAGTGTGTTTTTCCAGGACCCATCAGCTCCAAGCCAAGTAGTTGTTTCAATCTAGCTGTGGAGGGCACATCTCAGTGACCCTTGTGGGGATCAAACTGGCAACCTTGGTGTTATGAGCACTGCGCTCTAACCAACTGAGCTAACCGGCTGATCCATAAAAATTACAAGTGAAATTTTATAATGTTGTATTTTGGCTAGAAAAAAAAAGAAAACGTGGCAGTATCACGAATGTCTAGCAGCTCCAAGTTACCTTCCTGTTCCACAGCAGTTAGACTTCAGGTGAGATACAAATTTTGAGGCTTTGCTGGACTCTTGAAGGCAGGAGAGTTTTTCAGGGATCATGCCCCCAAAGCCAAACAAATGGGAACAGAGTTCCAAGGCTGAGGAGGAGGGGCCAGGGCAGCCAGGAGCCAAGGCCTGGAGGGCAAGCAGGACCAAGCTACGGGCAGAGTTGATACATAGGAGCACGGGTTATGTGGCTGTTACATTGACCCACTGTGGCCAAGAGCAGTGAGGTCTCCCACGCCACACTCTTATAGCAGCATGGTTGTAGGGAATTTGATCCTTAGGACAGTAACTAGCAGGAGAAACTGAGACTGAGGTACTTGGCTCTGAACCAGAACCTTGGAAGAGGGCTTTAGTGGCCCTGCATAGGGGTACCCTCAATTCCAAGCAGAACAGAAGTGATCCCCTTGAGGGAAGCTTTCCCAAGTCAGGCCTGTGGAATTCCCACAGATTACACGGCCTCACAAGCAAAGATTACGAAATATGCTAGAGACAGGCCCCTAGTAGTGAGAGGGAGCAGAAGCAAGAACCACCAGAGGTATCCTCCCAAGGACTACAGGTGTTGGAACTACCAAATACAAGATATAGGATAGCTATAATGGCGAGATCACAAGGGAGAATATACAACAAGAAATGATTAGGGGCAAAGAAATAACATTAAAAATATGAAATTTTTATAAATGAAATCGTGTTTAAGTTGAAAAAATATAAATGCATAGTGGATTATTCACAGGTAAAGAGAAAATTCAGGTATTTGAAGGGTTTATCCAGAATTCTGTGGAGGCTAGAATGAGAAGGTCAATATATGTATGACTGGGGACACAGAGAGAGAAAAGGGGGAGAATGAGGAAAGACAATGGTTACAATGTTCTAGATGGTAAATGTTCTAGAACTGATAAAAAATTCGAATCCACAGATCCAGGAAGCAAAAGATAACCACATGTAGACACACAGTAGTGAAACCACAGAACTCCAAAGGCAAATAAATAAAGATCTTGAAAGCACCCAGAAAAGCTAGAATATTTTGCTTACAAAGGAATAACAGTTAAGCTGATAGCCAATTTTCTCAACATCGGTGGAAGTCAGAAGGCAGTGAAAAGAGTTTTAAAGTGTTGAGAGAAAATAATTGTTAATTTAGAAGTGCATTCCCAGCAGAACTATCATTCAAGAATAAGGATAGAAGACTAGTGTTGTTTTCTCAATTCTACCTGAGGGTTTTATTTCCCCATAGCTGCTATTTATTGTAAAACATTTCTCAGGGATGTGTCATTAAATGTAGGCATAGTCAGTCATTTGTGTCCAAGAAAAAAAAAAGGATTTGGCCTTTTCTGCTTAAATAAGATAACAACAGGAAACGTTTTGTGTAACTTGAGAAAATAAAAAAGAATGAATTTAAAATGAAAAAAAAGGATAAAATAAAACATTTGTAGATAAACAAAAGTGAAGCAGTTTATCACCGAGAGCCCTACTATAAAGAAACTTCTGGAAGGCTGACTTCAAGAAGAAGGAAAAGGATCTAGGAAAGACAGATTGAGATGCTTGAAGGAATGGTGAACAAATAAAATGGTAAACAAGTAGTTAATTCCAAACTAGCAATCTTTGTACCAAATGGTATCTAGTATGTGGGGATAAAAAGGGGAAATATTAGATGACAATAGAATAGAAATTAGGGTGAAAGTAGGAAATGTAGGAAGTAGGAAACGTAAGTGCAAGAGTTCTAAAGTCCTTTTTTGACTGGGAGGAGGGTAAAAATATCATTTAATTTTAACATCTTGTCAAATATGCCTGATAAGGGGTAATTACTAAAAGAATGAAAATGAGAGAATAAGTTCTAAACTGATAGATAGAAAGAGAAGTAACGGGAGAGTTATCAAAAAAAAGTTTAATCATTTAAAAAAATAGAAAAAAGAAACAAAAACAGAAGGGCAAGTAGGAATTTTAGAAATAAGATAAGCACATTTAAATATAGCAATACAATAAATGTAAATATGTTTAACTGGTCAACTAGTAAAAGAGATTATCAGTTTAGATAAAAATTTAAAAGCTACAAGCTATTTTCAAGAGACATGACTAAAACAAAATGACAGAAGGTTGGAAGTAAAATGATGGAAAAATATGTATCAGGATAATCAAGAGCATATTGGTAGTACTTATGAATATCAGACAAAACAAACTTAAAATACAAAGTGTCACAGAGGCTAACAAGGGTCAAGCAGATATAAAATCAGCAAAGATACAGAAAATTTAAACAATACAATTAACAAGCTTGATCTAATGTCATATGCAGAACTTTCCATCCCACAATTAGAGCACACATATTTTTCTCAAGCACACATGGAATATTTACAAAACTTCATGACATACCAGGCTATTAAACTAAATCACAACTAATTTCACATAATCAGTACCATATACACCACGTTCTCTGTCTACAAAGCACTTCAATCAGAAATTTATAATAAAAAGTTAAATATATAATCCCTATATATTTGGTTACTTTAAAACACACTTTTAAATAACCAAAAGATCAAAGAAGGTATCACAGGAAAATTTAAAAATATTTAGAAGCAAATGATAATTAAACACTACCATGACACCAAAAACACAGGCAATAAATTCTGTGTGTCAAATGATACAATCAACAGAGTGAAAAGAGAACCCATGGAATGGGAGAAAATATTTGCAAATCATGTATGTGATAAGAGGTTAATATCCACAATATATAAAGAACTCCTGCAGCTCAACAATAGCAACCAAAAAACAAACAACCTGATTAAAAAATGGGCAGAGGGCTTGAATAGACATTTCTCTCCCAAAAGGATATACAAATGGTCAAAAAGCACATGAAAAGATGCTCAACATCACTAGTCGTTAAGGAAATGCAAATTAAAACCATGATGAAATAACACTTTGCATACAGCAGGATGGTTACTATCAAAAACAAAACAAAATAACAAGGATATGAAGAAAATGTAAAATGATGCAATTACTATGGAAAACAGTATGGCAGTTCCCCCCAAATTAAAAACAGAATTACCATGTGATCCACAAAATCCACTTCTCAGTACATACTTAAAATAATTGAAAGCAGGGTCTCAAAGAGGTATTTGTTCATTATATTCATGGCAGCATTTTATTTACAATAGCTAAAATGTGGAAGAAACTCAAGTGTCCACTGATGAATGAATAAACAAAATGTGGTAAATTCACACAATAAAATATTATTCAGCCTTATAAAGGAGGAACATTCTGACACATGCTGCAGCATGGATAAATCTTGAGGGCATTGCACTAAGTTAAATAAGCCAGTCATAAAACGACAAATACTGTAGGATTTCACTTATATAAGGTACCTAGAGTGGTCAAATTCATAGAGACAGACGGTTGAATGGTGGGTGCCAGGGACTGGGGGAAGAGAAAGTGAAGAGTTATTTTTTAATGGGTACAGAGTTTCAGTTTTGCAAGATAAAGAGTTCTGGAGATGGATGGTGGTGATGGTTGTAGAACAATGTGAGTGTACTTAATGCCACTGAATCATACATTTAAAAATGATTAGGATGGTAAATTTATGTTACATGTAATTTACTATAACTAAAAATGAAAAACCCACTACCTATTCAAACTTGTGAGATGGAGCAAAAGTACAGTTTCTAGGGGCAAGGTAGAGCCATAAACTCTTATTTTAAAAACAAAGAAAGACTAAAAATTTAAGCTAAGTGTCCAATTTAATAAGTTAGGAGGAGGAACAACAGAATAAATTCAAACAAGGAAAAAAAGGAGATAAAGTTAGAGCTAAAATAGATAAAATAGAAAACAAAGAAATGATACAGAGCAATCAATGAAGACAAATGATCATTCCTAAAAAAACTAACAGAATAGAGAAACCAGTGGTAGTTTTGACATTATTATTTAATTTTAACATCTTGTTAGAAAAAAAAGAATAATATCACAAATTAAAAGGGGACATAATTATAGATACAGTAGAGATTAAAAGATAATAAGAATTACCATATGATCCAGCAATCCCTCTCATGGGTACCTACCCCAAAAATCTGAAAACATTTATCCATAAAGATATATGTGCTCTGATGCTCATTGCAGCTTTATTTACAGTGGCCAAGACATGGAAACAACCAAAGTGTCCTTCAATAGATAATTGGATAAAGAAAATGTGGTATATATACACAATGGAATACTATTCTGCCACCAGAAAAGATGAAATAGTGCCATTTGTGACAACATGGGTGGATCTTGAGATTATTATGCTAAGTGAAATAAGTCAGACAGAAAAAGTCGAGAACCATATGATTTCATTGACATGTGGTATACAAAACTGAAAGGAACAAGACAAATAAATGAAGAAACAAAAACTCATAGACATAGACAATAGTTTAGCGGTTACCAGAGGGTAAATGGGGAGAGGGGATAGTAGAAGAGGGTAAAGGGGATCAAATATATGGTGATGGAAGGAGAACTAACTCGGATGGTGAACACACAATGCGATATATAGATAATGTATTACAGAATTGTACTGAAACCTATGTAACTTTACTAACAATTGTCACGCCAATAAACTTTAATTAAAAAAAAGTATTTTACCAATTTAAGCAGAAATAGAAAGCCTTTTTAGTCTTGCAAGTATTAAATAAACTGAAGTGGTCATTTAAAAATGTTCCCATGGGGTGGCCGAGTGGCTCAGTTGGTTAGAGCGCATGCTCTTAACAACAAGGTTACTGAATAGATTCCCGCATGGAATGGTGGGCTGCACCCCCTGCAACTAGATTGAAAACGTCGACTGGACTTGGAGCTGAGCTGCGCCCTCCACAATTAGATTGAAGGACAACGACTTGACTTGGAGTGATGGGTCCTGGAAAAAACACACTGTTACCCAATTTTTAAAAAAGCGCTCCCATAAATAAAATGTCAGGCCTATATGGTCTTATAAGTGAATTCTACAAGGTTTCAAGGGAAAAACATTATTCTAATCTTACTTAAGTACTCCCAGAAACCAGAAAAAAAAATGGGGGAATACTTCCTAATTTATTCAATGAAACTAGTATAATTTTCCAAACCCAACAAGTAGAGTGTACAAGAAAAAATGACAAGACCATTTCACTTATATAGATGCAAAAAAATTTAAACAGAATATTAGTAAACAAAATATAACAATGTATAAAAGACTAATTTACTGTAACCAAGTTAGGTTTGTCATAGGAATTCAAGGATGGCTTAACATTGGAAAAGTCAATAGGTAATTAGGCAAAAGAAATAATAGGTACTTCACAGAAGACATACATACCACAAATGACATATAAAGAGATTTCAGTTTCACAAGTGATCAGGAAATGCAATGTCAGACCACAGTGAAATACCATTTTATACTAAAGAATTATTAACATTTTTTTTAAGTTTACTGATACCAATACCACATTTGAGAAAATGTGGATCAACAGGGTCTCTTATTCATTGCTGGTGGGAATATAATTGGTACAAGCATTTTGGAAAACAATCTGGCATTCTCTTGTCATAGTTAAGCAGTCATATATCTTAGGACCTAGCAATTCCATTCCTAGGTATATGTCCAAGAGAAACTAATACTATTACTCAGGAGAAGTGTATAAGAATGCTCATAGCAACATTGTTCATAAAAGTAAAAAACAAAGAAGAAAAACAAAAATTGGAAAAAACCCAGATAGAATCAGGAGAATGGATAAATTGATATATTGACCCCCAAAATATGATACAAGAACAAAAATGACAAAGTAAAACTAGCTATATGTGACAACCCAATGAATCTTGGAAGTATAATATTGAATGAAAAAGCAAGTTCTAAAAGTCTGTATCAGAAACCAGTTTTATAAATGTCATAAACAAGCAGAACAAAACAATATATTGTTTAAGCAGATGTGTGTGTGTGTGTGTGTGTGTAAACATAAGATAAAACTAAATAACTAAACAAACAGTCAAAAAAGTCCAAAGAGGGTCTGGCCAAGTGGCTCAGTTGGTTAGGAGCATGATCTCTGAGCAACAGGATCGCCAGTTCGATTCCCACATGGGCCAGTGAGCTACGCCTGAGCTAAGCTGCCACTGAGCTGCCATCAGGTGGCAGGGTGGCTCAGCTGGTGAGAGCATGTGCTCCTAATAAGGTTGCCGGTTCTACTCCCGCATGAGATGGTGGGCTGCACCTTCCCGCAACTAATATTGAACATGGCACCTTGACCTGAGCGACTGTCAGCTATCAACAGGTGGCTGGATGGTGACTGGACTTGGAGCTGAGCTAGCTGTGCCCTCCACAACTAAGATTGAAGGACAACAACTTGGTTGTTCCCCTTCCCCAATTCCCCAACACTGTTCTCCTTCCCCAATCCTCCCCCCCAAAAAAAAGTCCAAAGAGAGTCATAAGTTCATAATTCAGTACAGCTATTACCTGGTCATTGGGGGAATGGGGGAGGGCAGAACAGAGGAGGAGCACATATGTAAATAGAAGTTATTGGTAATCTAGTTTTTGTGTTGGTGATGTATATACTGGCATTATGTTATAAATAAAATTTTAAATAAATAAAAACAAATAACAATGGATCTGCATGGACCCATGGAGATAGTGTACCATGATCAAGGATTATGGCTAACTCCATACTGTCCACCTGAGTGCTGATATGAACCTATAAATGTGGGTGTGGGTATGAGAAATGGCCCCTCTCTACTAAGACTGATGGCTCTCATTTGGATTGTGTTGTTTGTACACAAGCTGACATCTCTGGAAGCTCTAATGTGGTAAGAATATTTACAGGAATTCTACCCTGGAGAAGACTTGAGGGACCTGTGAGTTGTTTTCAAGCATTTGAAGGGCTATTACAAGGGAGAGGAATAAACTTGTTTACTGAGGCTCCAGAGAACAGAAGAAGAACCAATGTCTACTTGTGTGTTTGGGCAGAGAAACAAGAAGGAGTATACTAACAGGGGACTCCATGAGTTCCAAGGTCCCTTTGTACACTGATAGAGGGATTGGATTTCCAACATGGGGACACAGAAGGGTCCCTTAGGATCTTTCTGATTTTCTGTCTCAGAAAAACAGGGGAACATTAAGACTTTGGACTGTGTGCTAAAACATAGAAATGGGTTGGACTAAAATTTGGAGGTGAATTATTTTAAATGAGAAGTTAAAAAAAAAGCAGAACTCTTGCAAACTTTGTGGTAGATGTTTTTGTTTTCTAATTTTTGGTGGACAAGGGAGCTTTCCCCATTCTATTTGTTAGGTTGGCCACTACTCACATAATCACATGTGATCTCTCTATGTTGCTGTTGAACATGTCAAGTGAGTATGCCCCATTCCTCCAGTTAAGATGTAAACTTTTTAAGATCAAGAATTGTTTTATCCTCCTTTGCATCTTCCACAATGCTTTTCATAGGACAAGAGTTCAATGTGAGCATTTATTGGCTGGTTAGCATGGTGTTTGATGGATTCATTCATTTATTCATTCACTCATTCATTCAACAGCTATTTGTTGAAAATGTGCATATCATGTTGTGAAGAGTTTCAAAGTGTGGGTTGGAGGTGCCTTTGGATAGAAGGGCCAACCCCACTCACCATCTTCAAAGGTGCCAGGGTCCATCTTCAATGCCCCTGTTACCTTATTCCCAGAGAGGAAGCCCAGAGGATCTTGGAGGTGCCTCCTAGGTCCTTACCTGGATAGATCCGAAAGAATCCAGTGGAGCTGCCAAAATATTGCCAGGTCAGTGTCGGGTCTCTCCGGAAGTTCTCCACAAAAACAGGGTTCAAGGCTTCAGACATGTAGACTCCATTTAAAATAGCTGGATCTAAAGGGTGAGATTATAGAAGGAACTGCAGGGGAAACTAAATCAGGAGCCACAGTGACTAATTCTTCACCCACTGAACACACACACACACACACACACACACACACACACACACACACACACAGAGCCTGCAGTGATGTAGTTTACAATTTTCCTCTACACCTCACAACCTTTAAGCCAGGAACACTGATTTTTCTCCCAGCCCAGGCTTGTGTAGAATGATTCATCTTCTCAGTTAAGGAGGTTGGAGAATCAGTTTACACCCTGCAGGGCTTCTCAGATAAATGGAGGCAAATCAATAAACTCCACCAGCACCACCAGCACCACTCTGTCAAACAACAGGTGGTTGGGAGTCTGCCAGGCCATGGGGCGGGTGGGGTCTACCTTTGTTGTACACGTTGGTGGGCAGCTGCACACTGCTGAGGGATGTGTTCACCATCAGATTGCTGAAGTGAGCATTGGATTCAAGGACAAACTCAGCCCCCAGCTCCACGTAGTTGCCATTTGCATCCCTCTGGTTGATCAGGACTGAGTTGTAATAGTCAAACTAGGGCGGAGGGGAATGGGCCGGACAGAGACAGTGCAGACACAGGGACCCGCAGAGTGAGAAAGAGAAAAGAAACGGTGCAATCAGAGGTCTCAGATGTGAGTGATGGTCAGATAGACTGACAGCATTCATACAAGCTTCATCTGTGGAGGATTCAGCAATGACCCACAGGATTTGGGCAAATACGTATCCAGATAATTGGAGTGGATGGTTGATTTGATGGGGTTCTGATGTCAATTGTCTAGATTATTGCTTCAGTTCTCCACTTTGTTTAGCTTGTATGGACACAGGTAGAGATGGAGACAGATACAGGCAGACAGAGTCCAGGAAAGATAAAGAAACAGAGGCTGCCTCATCAGCACCACCAGCTCCTTCCACTGTGGGAAGGCTCCTAGAGATCCAGATGGTGGGGCCCTGAGAGGTGAGACTTCTTCTCTCTTTAAGAAACAGCCTGCGCCGTGGACCTCAGGAAAAGCCTGTGGCTCTGTGTCCCTCTGAGGATCCAGCAGTCTGCTCTCTGCTCTTACACAGTGTTGGAGGGTCTGCTTGGATTACCACCTTGGAGCCGTCATCAGACCCTTTTGCCCCACTCCCTCCATACAACCTGGTGCATTCAGACTTGAATAGCTTCCCTCAGGCTCTCCTCCATCGTTCCCATGTCACAACACTGCTGCCACAAATCTGGCTGTGTCCCTCCCTTGCTCAAAACCTTTAATATGCGCCATTCAGTCTGCATAAAGGCCAGATTCCTACCTTTACCACCATGATTTTCTGCTTCACCAGCCTCTGGATACACAGAGCTGATCACTTGGCAATTTTCTCAATCTTGTGTATTTTTTTATTTCTTTTCCCTCAGCCTAGAAACCCATTCTCCATGCCCTCAGCTGCTCAAATCTCCCTCAGCCTGGGCCAGCCCCGAGGTCACTTATGTGCAGAGGTTTCTGAGCTCCTCCCCTTCCCTCTGCACTGTGGGAACGCTCTGTTTACCATTTGTATGGACGTGTTACAGGCCTCATGCTAGAGTTATTTGGTCTATGAACTTGACTTGGAGCAGAGACCAGCATGTTGCATTGGGTAATAAATGTCTCCGGAAGAGTAGATTGCCACTCTACACTCTGCCCCAGGTCCTGGCAGCTGTCTCTCCTTCCTGTCTCATAAGTCCCTCCTCTAAAGACTCCAGAGTGTTTCAGAATCAAACTGTTGTAGGTTCATACAAATCCTGAGCACATTAAAAGATAGCTCTGGACCCCAGCCCCCCCACTCCTCCATATCCTGTACTCAGTGACCCTGGACATCACATCGGTGGGAGATTAGACATTATACCCTCTCAGGACTCACCACCAGAGATTCATTGAATTCATGGTTCAGGTCAGCCTCCTCGGCGGCCTCTACCAGGTTCTGAGGGATGGGAACGCAAAAGGGAGAATGAATGGGTTAAAGGAGGTCAGTGGGTCCTCACTTACACTCCTAAGAATATGCCCAAGAGAACTGAAACAGGGACTCAGATGAGAACTTGTGCACGAATGTTCACAGCAGCACTATTCCCAATAACTGGAAGTGAATGCATGTTCCTAAGTGAAAGAAGCCAGTCTGAAAAGGCTGTGTGGTTCCAACCGCACAACACTCTGGAAAGGCAAGGCTATGGAGCCAGGGAAAGATCAGTGGTCGCCTGCGGTTTGTGGGGAGAGAGGAAGGGATAACAGGTGGAAAACAAGGGACTTTGAGGGCAGTGACACTATTCTGCATGATCTGTAATGGTGGATACATGTCATTATGCATTTATCAAAACCCACAGAATGTACAACACCGAGAGAGACCCTAATGTAAACTGTGGACTTTGGGTGACAACGGTGTGTCAATGCAGGTTCACAGATCGTAACTGATGTACCACCCTGGTGGGATGTTGGCAGTTGGGGAGGCGGTGTGTTTGTGGGGGCAAGGGGTATATGGGAATTCTCTGTAAATTCTTCACAATTTTGCTATGAATCCAAAATGGCTCTAAAAATAGTCTATTTCAATGTGTGTGAATCTGTATATAAGCATATAAATTTTAATCATTTTTAAAGTGTGCAATTCAGCAGCAGAAGGCACATTCACAATGTTAGGAAACTGTCATCACTGTCTAGTTCCAGAACTGTTTTCTCCACCCCAAACGAAAGCCCTGCACCCACTAAGCAGTCACTCCCACTCCCCTCTGCCGTTGGCTGCTGGCAGCCACTCATCTGCTTTCTGTCAGTGGGTTTCCCTATTCTGGGTATTTCACATAAGTGGAATCATACAATATGTCACCTTTGTATCTGGATTCTTTCACTCACTTAGCATAATGTTTTCAAGATTGAGCTGTGTTTTAAAGTATATCAGAACTTCATTCCTTTTTTTCCCCAGTTTTTTGTTTGTTTGCTTGTTTCAGGTGTACAAGACAGTGCAATAGTTATACTTTTTACCCCTCACAAAGTGACAACCCCCCTCCCCCAATCCACTGCCCCACTCCCTCCTCCCCCGGATATCATACATATCTATTACAATTCCATTGACTCCACTCTCCACACTATACTCCACGTCCCGTGACAATATATATATATATATATATATATATATATATATATATATATATATATATATATATAAAATTATAGTTGACACTTCATTTCTTTTTATGGCTGAATAATATTACATTTTATGAATATCTCATATTTTGTTTATCCATTCATCAGTTGATGGACATTTAGGTTGTTTCCACTTTTCAGCTACTGAATATAAATATATACAATTTTTGAATGTCAATTATACCTCAATAAATCTGGGGAAAAAAGAAGAGAAGACCTGAGCTCCTATTCTGGCTTTGTCAGGGGCAAACCACTAAGCCTCCCTGGGTCTCTACTTACACAACTGTAAATTAAGTAGAATAGTCCTTGCCTTCCCTACTCCCAACATTCTATTCCTAGGATGTGATGAAGAAATTCTCCAGAGCCAAGATTATTTCAGCAATGCTTTGAAGGAAACTTTCCCATGGGTACTCCCATTGAAGGGTAGGTGGCTATGGCCCCCCACGGAACCCCCAGCAGGGAGCAAGGACTGGTGCTTGGAGAAGGAAGGTCTGCAGAGCAAGCACTCATTGGATTGGTTTTTCGAGGTTGAAGCTATGGGAAGGCCACAGTGCAACTGGAGGCCCAAGGAGCCCAGAGCCGGGCTTCTGGGGGGAGCCAGGACTGCTGTGCTCTAGCATCATGAGGATCTGCCCCTGGAGTGGTGCTTCCTGCATCCCAGTGTCTGTGCCCTTCCAGGGAGGTGGTTTCCATGGCACTGCAGATTGAAGGAGGCAGGCGGTACTGCTGTGCTGGTTGTGTGGGAGGTCAGTATTCCCCTGCTGTGGCCCAGGGTGGGCGTTCCAGCCCCCAAGTATCTTCTCATTGGTTCCTGACACTAAGATCCCTTGCTTCTAAGCCTGGAGAAAACAGGCAGCGAATTGTAACTCATGGGAAAGATGGCCCCAGCGACTTTACTCAGGATCCCTCCCAGATAGTGTTTTTGATGGGGGTGGGGTGGGGATGGGGGACATGGGAGACAGGCTGGCAAGCTGGCCACACTGCAGTTTCCATTCCCAACACTTCCTGCTCTTAGCACTGGCCTCAGCCTCCCCTCCAACAGCCTATCATCCAGCTCCAGCTCCTCTCTTCTGGCTCCCTGAAGGAATTCTTTTGGGAGACAACATCAGTCTTGGATGGTCAGATTTCTGGCTGGATGGAGCAGGAACTATGTGCCTCCATCCAGCCAGGTCCCCACAGCACCAGGGTAGGCACTTCATGCCAGGGAAGTGACACATTCTGTTTATACCAGGCCAAGCCCGGTTTGGTGTGTGTGCAGTGACGAAACCCTGTGAGCATGAGGCCCGACACTGTAAGTACATCTGCTGTCTGGGTAGCCCCCTAGCACATGGGTATCATAAAGGATGGGTCGGTATGGCAGCGGGGGAAAGGGTTGGGGGATGAGTAGTGGAAGGAGAGAAAGGAAGAGGAGAGAAGGGAAAGGAAAGAGAGGGGGCTTTCTTTGTATGCTCTCCATCCCTCTATACTCCCACCTACTCATTTATCCATCCATTCATCCATCCCTCTATACTCCCATCCATCCATCCATCCATCCACCCATCCATTCATTCAGCAGATGACTCCTAAGTCCTCATTCTATACCTGCTCTGCACCAGTCACTGAGTATGAGGTTGTGATGCAGAGTCCCTCTTCACACTGCAGGTTGGTCCTATTGCATTGGACATTGTTTCCTAAGGCAGAGCTCTAATCTCAGCCCTCCCCTTTCCCCTGCTTCCCATCATTTCCTCCTTTACAAGGACCTTTTGGCTCATGGGGATACAAGGCAGGCACTCATGAGGTATGGCCTGGGGTGGAATCCCCCACAGATCAATAGGACTTGAAGCACCTTGACAGCCTCCACTTTCCTGCGTAGCATGGTCTCCATGTCATCTGAGATTTTCTGCACCAGCTCCAAGCCATCCACCTCCTGGATCCTCAGACTGGGCTCCACATCCTTGAATTTCTGTTAAGGGAAATGTGGGAGAGATGGGCACCTGTCATCTGGCACCGAGATGATTTGTACCTGATTACACATGGCCTCCATTCTCTCAACTGTGTAGTCACACCCATGAGGTTTTGTTTACTCCACAGAGGCAAGGACAGGCCCTTCCCTCCTCGAATAATCTCCTCCCCTAACAACAATAGCTGCCTCTTATCAAACATTCTCTCTGTTCCAGGGGCTCTGGACACGTTTTGTTTATATCCTTAAGGGGAGTAGGGCCGGCCAAGTGGCACGTTGATTAAGAGTTGGATTGGGACTCCAGCTCTGAGCATCAGGGCCCGGGTTTGGATCCCACATTAGGGCCAGTGACACTGCACCCTCTATAGCTAAGATGGTGAACAACAGCTCAACCTGGAGCTGGGCTGCTGTGAGTCACCGGAGACAGCATAGTCTGCAGTGGAGCTGCAGTGGGCTGCTGCAAAGCTACTGTGAGTGGCTGGCAGCCAGTGTGAGCTGCCGAGAGCCACCATGAGCAGCCGTCCAGGGCCCGGCGACTGATCTGCCTCACCCGGGAAGAGCACAATGATCATAATACCAACATGGGCCAATGAAGCAACATCCTCCACAACTAGACTGAAGAACAAAAGGACAGCAACTTGTCTGTTCCCCTTCCCCAATTCCCCAGCGCTGTTCCCCTCCCCCAATTCCTCAATAAAATCTTTTTTTTAAAAAGAGGGAGTAGGCCAGGGCTCAGAGAGGTCAACAAACTTGACCTAGATCACACAGCCATGTCTCCAAAACGTCCACATTGTCTGCTGCCCCTGGAGCCACTCATGACTATGATACCCCCCTGAGCATCAGTTCATCTTTCCTCAAGCCCCGTGATGTCATTGTTCTCCTACTCATAGTGTGTCTGGGCCGAGCTCAGCAGAGGTAGGTATTGATGCTGCCTGACAAACTGCCAGGGAGCCTAGGAGAGTTCAGAGAGCTGGGTTTGAGTTCATGCTCTGGGGCTGCGGGAGACAACCTCTCCCTGCTGTGCATATCACTGTCTAATGACCCAGTTTGGCAACCCATTGGCCACATGACCTTAGGTAAGTTTCTCAGTCAGTTTCCTCATCTGCAAGATGTGACATTGGCATGGCTTTAGAGAATGCTCTAGAATGTAGATTAGAGAATGTTTTTACCCCAAACAGCCACATATTATTGCTCCATTTTTCTGACCTGAAGTTGGAGGGCACAAATGAGAAAGTTGAATGAAATGGTGCTCTGAAATGTAGAAGTGTGGTGTGACTGGAAAGTGGGTCTGAGCTGTCATTCCGTGTTGGCCTGTGGACAAGGAGTAGCACGTACACATCCCCCTCCCCATCCCCCACTCCCCGGCTCCTCCCACCCTCTCCAGCCCGTGGACCTGTGGACTGTGGGGAAGGGACAGCAGGAGGAGGCTGCAGATGGTCATGTGTGGGCATAAAGGCCTGTGATCTGCTTATAGCATCATTTAGAAAATGGCAAGGATGGTAGTCTCCTCAGAAGCTGTGGTGAGAGTTAAATCCTGAGTAGAAAGCTCTTAGTGAATGGTAATAAGAAAGAATGGTAAGCTACTAATAAAACTGGTCTGAGGGGGGCCGGCCGAGTGGCGCGATGGTTAAGAGCTGGCTTGGGACACCAGAGGGCCCTGGTTCGGATCCCACATATGAGGGCCAGTGACACTGCCCTCCACAGCTAAGATGCTGAACAACAGCTCAACCTGGAGCTGGGCTGCCATGAGTCGCTGGCGACAGCATAGGCTGCAGCCCCTGTGGCAGTGGGTTGCCATGGGCTACCGTGTGTAGCCAGCAGCCAGCGTGAGCGGCCAGCAGCCACCGTGAGCGGCATCCAGAAGCCAGCGACTGATCTGCCTCGCCTGGGAAGAGCTCAATGATGGTGCCAACTTGGGCCAGTGAAGCAACGTCCTCCACAACTAGACTGAAGAACAAAAAGACAGCAACTTGTCTGTTCCCCTTCCCCCAATTCCCCAGCGCTGTTCCCATCCCCCAATCCCCCAATAAAAATCTTAAAAAACAACAACAATTGGTCTGGGGGTTATAAATATCAGAGGAAAACAGGGTTGTTTATAACGTAGTAAGAGGATAGGCGATGTGTCCATCTGCACATAAAGCAATTGCTTAATAAGGGAAGGGGGAGCTGGTGCGTCATCCTGTCCCTCAGGCCCCGTGTCCTGCCCGGGAGGTGGACACGAGCCCACGTGGGCTCTGCTGTCCGGGCATGGCTGGAGCTCCTGAGAATTGGAGGTCTGGGAGCTCTCCCTGCACAGAAGACCAAGGGCTAGCTGGCCGGCTTCTGCGGCCAAAGTGGCCGCTGTAGGATTTCCCCATGGCTGGCTGAGGCCCCACTTACCCCTTCTCCTCTCTCCCACCTCCTTTCACAGGTGCAGCCCTGCATCCGCATCTGCTCACTGCTCCCTCCCGCCTCTATTTTTCACAGCCTTTCCACCTTATCTAATTCCATGTTGGCGTCAGCTTCCCGGGAATCTGAGCTGGCGCTATGCTCTGGCCACCCCACCGACTTGGGCAAATGGTTCTCCTCCCTGAGTTTCAGTTTCACCACCTGAAAACGAGGGGGTTGTGTTAGATGATGTCTGAGACCCCCTCACAGCACAGACACTCAGGGACTCTGCTCCTCTCTCTGGGAGGACCCCCTGGTGATTGCCCTCTGACCACCCTGGGAGCTCCCAGAAGAGGGTTACTGACCTTCTGCAGCAAGAGGGAACCCGAGTATTTGGTCACAGTGTCATACAGCTCCCCGCCGAAGGTGTCTGCCCACAGCTTCACTCTGCCGAGTCATGAAGGTACATGTGTATACACATGTGTACACACAAACATACACACATAGATGCACATGCACACACATACATACAAAACAACTGTCCACACACACAGACACCCACTGATCACATCTGCACAAACACAGAGACACACATGATACATAGAGATTCACACTGTAACTCACACACACACATGTACACATGCAAACACATACACACTGACATGCACTCAGAAAAACACATGCAAATAACTTTTACCCCTGCTGGCCAGAGCAAAAGACCCCGAGGACCCACTAGGGTTTCAGCAGCTGCACTGAGTATGCTGAATCCCCTTGGCTGGGTCTCCCACTGAGGCGCAAGGGTTGATGAGCCAGATCCAAGGCCTGGCCCCAAGCACCCACGAGCTGTGGTTTGTAACTGGGGAGAAGGAGGGGAAAAAACTATGGACAGTTCAGGCCAGGGTGGAGAGGACCCTCAGGATAGACTCTGGGGCTGCCTGGGCACAGCTGCAGCTTCTCAATGAGTCATTGCCTCCAGCGTTCCCTGCTCAAGGTCACTGTAGGCTGCTGCCTCCTCTGTTGGAACTTCAGAGGGAGCATGATGCAAGGGGGCAGAGGACAAAGCTGTGAGCTGCTTGTGCTGAGGCTGAGGGGAGGCCAGGCAGTGAGGGCAGGGGACAACACCTCACCTGTAGTGCAGGCAACTTAAGAGAAACCATGACCTCTGTGTGTCCCCAGAGTGCACCAAGACCCCGTCCCCTGGGCCGGCTGGTGGGGTCCTGGGGGTGTGCATATAGGACTGTGTCTGAACCTCTCCAGATGGAGCAAATGGAGTTTGCCCACACGATCATTTCGAGATCAGCATTCATTTAGTCAGTCCACCAGTATCTACTGAGGTCCTATGTGCCAGGCATTGTGCACAGTCTTGGAGCCACATCACAATCCTCACCTTTGTAACTGTCAGTTAAAAGGATGTTTCTTCATATACAGGTAGCATAATGCATGTTTGAAGGAACACCAACAAAACTTGGGGAGTGTCCCCTTGGTGAGGGGAGGCTTCCCGGCAGAGGTGGAGTCTGCATTCAGTGGCAGAGGCTTGGGAGAGTTTAGCCTGACAAAGAGATTCTAGGTGGAGATTACAGAAGAGCTTGGGGCAGTCAAGCATGACTTCCAGGCTTCCAGCTGGGTGATTGAGCTAATGGCAGGGTTATTAAGTAAAATTAAGAATATCAGGGAGATCAGGGAAGCACGTTGGGGAGGTGGAAAGTGATGAGAGTCCCTTGAGTTATGTAGAAAATAAGGTCTCCGTTGCAGAGTGATGTCAGGCAGGTTGTATATTGCACAACTCTAGAAAGCACCAATCGCTTTGTATCTTGAAAGACACAAACTTGAATTTAAAACTGCACATGATGTTCAGGAAGAGCTATCTATAAGCAACAGATATGTGAGTCGAACAGGCAGAGGCACAGCTAAGAGTCATAGTACATAGATGGGCGTCAAAATTCTGGGAGTAGGAGATTGGGGGCATGAGAAGGGCTGAATGGATGACAAACCCTGGAAAACATCAACAATCTCAAGGGGCAGGCATAGGGAAAGGAGCACTTGGGAAAGACAGAGAGGTAACAGGTGCCCAAGGAAACCTGGAGAGCACAGTGCTGTCAACATTGAGGCATTGAGACTCAGGAAAAATGGAGAAGCTAGTGTCCAATACAAGAGTCTAGGGAGATAAGTCCAGAAGTATCTACCACATTGGGCAATGCGGGTCTTTGGTGACTTGGGTGGAAACAGATTTGGGAGGACAGTAGAAGCCAGGGCCAGGTGGTGGGGGCTGAGGGCTGAGTGGGAGGGAGGGCCTGGCTTCATAAGAGGGAGATGTGGGGTCTCTGGGGCAGGAAAGACTGAGAAAGATCCAGTGGAAGAGAGGAGAGGAGGGGCCAAGGCCCCAGGCAGTGGGCAGGTGCAGATGTGGGCAGTTAGGGGACCTTAACCTCAGCGACTCTCTCTGGAAGTTTCTGTGTAGATGGTCCACTCTACAGTTCTCCTTGATCAAGACCTGGATTCCAGCGGTCTTGACTTGGCACTCAGCTGTTTCTAGAGTTGGCCTTCTACTATTGGGTGGTGTGTGTCCTGGAGGTGAAAATTATTCTCACTGTCTCCTCACCAGTAGGCAGTTTTGCAGGCTCAGTGGGTGTATTGGTGAAGCATAGGCCAGGCTGACCTGAGTTTAAGCTCTGGCACTTCTTTACTGGCTACGGGAACTTGGGAAGTCTCCTCAACTGCAGAATCAGAGTACTGTACCACCGCCCATCCCCTCCTCTCCCCCCCAATCACTGAACTGCTTGTGAACTGAAAGGATCATTTGTAAAGCACCCAACACTACGCAGGCATATAAAAGTCAGAGGCTATACAAGCAGACGGAAGCTGTGCTGCTCCACAAAGCCCAACACAAACATTTGTGCTATTCTAGTACCCTCTGCCCACTTCTGCTGACACATGAGGCTGGCAGCTGGCTCTGGTAGCCCGATACCATTCTGCACTTGAGTGGCTGGACTTAGATATCGACTGAGCAGGCGACCCCCTTTAGTCTAGAGTGCTCTGCTCCCCACATTTATTGGAGCTTTCTTTAATAAGACCACCAGAGCCAAGGACTAAAAAACAGACACCCCCAGAATGGTTGCACGGTAATTTAAATTTGTAGTAAAATGTAAATGACTGATACCTGGTCTTAATGACAGGGTGTACAGTCAGGGCCTGGAAAGAGGCAGAAAGGCACAGAGAGGGAAGACTGAGACCACCAAAGTCCAATTTGACCTAGTTTCTGGTTGCGAGAGCCATTTTGTCGATTTAGAACTGCTTTACCCCTTCAGACTGTCAAAATGAATTTCCTAACAAATCCTTGGGGAGCTGCAATGATCATTTTGAACCAGCACAGCTGCCAGTCTGTCACCTAGTGGCAGCGGTTACCCTGGAAGGAGCTGCACCCTGCAGGCGTTCCAGGGCCTCTTGAGAGCTGATGATCAGGTGTCTGGTCCGGGCAGGTGGACATCCCAGGGGAAAAGAGGAAGGTGAAGAAAAGGTCTTCACAGCAAGAGAGGGAGAGTGGGCAGTCGAGGCCCCCAAGAGATAGTCCGGAGGGAGGTCAGAGGTGAGGGGCGCAGAGGATTGAGGCCTGCCAGCTAGAGGAAAGGAGGAAAAGAGGAAAGGGTAAAAGGATTTGTGGGATGGGGCTGAATTTGGTGCTTACGTTTCCAGGGGAATCTTGGCCTGTCCCCTCATGGGGGACAGGGAGGTGCCAGACAGCAGCAGCCACAGGATGATCGCAGTCTTCCTCAGGGAGGCCCAGACCACTGACCACAGGCGAGAGTGTCTCCTGCTGTGGGTGCAGCTGGCGTCTGGCTGGAACCTGGGCGGTCTGGGCATGCTGCTCCACTGGGCTCAGGGCGGGCAGAATGGAAAGCGCAGCCTCAGGCCGTGAGCTCTGTCTGCCTGTCACCCAGATCCTCGGGATGTCCCCAAGTCTTCTGCCTTTCGGGTCCTGGCAAGCCTGGGGTTCTGCAGCTTGCAGTCGGGTCCTGGCTGAAATGCCTGGTGGGAGAGGGGGCTCCTCTCTGCTCTGTAGAGAACAGTGACAGGGGAGCTGCCTAACCTCACCAGCAGGCTTCCAGGAGAGGGACTGACTGTCGGGCAGGGCAGGCTGTGAGTGACAAAATGAACCTGTTAATCCATTGGCCTCTCCTCTAATCCCTCAACTAACAGCAGGGAGGAGGGGGTGAAAAGAGTGACCTCAGCAGGATTACCCTGTTTTCATAAGACAAGGTTTGTTCATTCTCTTGGGGATCAGAGCATACCCTCCAGCCTTCTGAAAACAAGGGAAGGACACTGTGACACTGGCCCAGGACAGCAGCTGCTGTTTGCCCAGTGCTCAGATTTACCAAGAGCCATAACAAGTCCTCTCTTTTTTTTTTTTTTAAGGTTTTTTATTGGGGAATTGGGGGGATGGGAACAGTGCTGGGGAATTGGGGAAAGGGGAACAGGCAAGTTGCTGTCGTTTTGTTCTTCAATCTAGTTGTGGAGGACGTTGCTTCACTGGCCCAAGTTGGCACCATCATTGCGCTCTTCTCTGGCGAGGCAGATCAGTCGCCGGCATCTGGACGGCCGCTCACTGCGGCTGCTGGCCGCTCACGCTGGCTGCTGGCCACACACGGTAGCCCATTGCAATCCACTGCCACAGGGACTGCAGCCCACGCCGTCGCCGGCGACTCATGGCAGCCCAGCTCCAGGTTGAGCTGTTGTTCAGTATCTTAGCTGTGGAGGGCAGTGTCACTGGCCCTCACATGTGGGATCCGAACCGGGGCCCTCTGGCATCCCAAGCGAGTTCTTAACCATCGCGCCACTCGGCCGGCCCGCAAGTCCTCTCTTTGAAACTCAGAGTGATCCTGGCAGGTCGGTGGCATCATCCATGTTTTCAGGGGCTCTTGAGGCACAGAGAATAGAGATGCTCATGTCTTCAGGCCTGCTGCCTCTGGCCAGGTCAGATGTAACATCAATACCCTACAGCCCCCACAGCCCCATGTCTCAGCTGCTCCTGGTGCTACACGAGAGATACATTCCTTGGGAAGCTGGCGACGCTTCAGGGCCTCTACCTTACACAGCAACATGTCCCCAATATATACAAAAGGAAGATAGTTGAACTACACTTGGGTTAAGATGTCTGTTTCTTTCTATTTCAGCCCTTCTCTGATTTCCCCTCGGTTGGGTGATGTTTAGTGGCTATGTGCATTTGGGGGATCCAGCTAAGAAGATGAGTTGTGGAAGAATTTAATTTGGGTTTATTGGGATGTATTTATGTAGCTCGCAGTCACTTCCTTGTATAGACAGGTTATCTCCAGCCATCCCGGGGTAGAAACACACTTATCGTCACCCACAGTGTGGACTCAGACTGCATCAGGACACCCAGGCGCCCTACAGCGCCTCCGCCTCCCCCTGGCCCCTGCCCCTGCTGGAAGTACATGGGACGAAGTATGTGGGACGTGAGGAAAGTAAGGTTGAAATAATACATGGAGCCAGAAGCTAGTCTGGAAGGTTCTTCCAAATATCAAACAAATAAAATTGCCAGCAGAGGACTTGGTTCTCATCAAGCCCTGGCCAGAACAGTTCTTTCCTCTTAGAAAAGTAGTTGATATTGAACGTATGTAATTATAAATATGCCATGCATTGTCTTCTCTCCTGATGGGAATTACACAAAACAGAATTTGATAGAAATTCTTGTGGTTGTCGTCCAGACTGGTGATAAGACCACATGGGCCCTGCACATGATGTCACAGTTTACACATTCCGTGTGCCAGAGTGCTTCTTAGCATATCTGATGCATCTTCTGATCAACTTCTTAAAATTTGTAATTTGGAGTGATTTTTTCATTATAAATAAATATTCACTTTTGTATACATTTTTGTATTTGTAATTTGTATTCTTTTTCTAATATAGATGACCACCCCCAAATTATGCAAGCTCCCAACCCCACAGAACGTGGCCCCTGTCCTCCATTCTAGCACCTGCTCATGGAAGGTGTTAGCACTCCAAGGTCCTTGTGCTCCACACTTCAAAATGCCGAAGCTTAAACCATCTGTTTGGAGTGAGGGAAAGGTTTATTGATTGAGAAGTCATCAATTGAGAAGATGGGGGCCCTAGTAGTTTCTCAACTCTATCTTAAGAAAATACAGAGTTCAGGGTCGGCCAGTAATGCTGCGCCCTCTACAGCTAAGATGGTGAACAACAGCTCGACCTGGAGCTGGGCTGCCGGGAGTCGCTGCAATGACGTAGGCTGCAGCCCCTGCTGCGGTGGGCTGCCATAAGCTACCATGTGTGGCTGGCAGCCAGCGTGAGTGGCTGGCAGCCGGTGTGAGCTACCAAGAGCCACCGTCCAGAGGCTGGCAACCAATCTGCCTCACGGGGGAAGAGCGCAATGATCACAATACTAACATGGGCCAGTGAAGCGCCGTCCTCCACAACTAGACTGAATAACAAAAGGACAGCAACTTGTCTGTTCCCCTTCCCTGATTTCCCAATAAAATCTTAAAAAAAAAAAGAAAAAAAAAAGAAAATACAGAGTTCAAGCTTCTTTCATGTCAAGGGAAGGGGAAATGGGAAGGGCTGTTTCTGTAAAAACTGAAGCCCTAAGTGGAATTCCTCTAATGACGAGCATGAGTAAAGCAGGGGTTATTAGCCGGAAGGCCATGGGGACAACCAGGGCTTAAACAAGGTGGAGTCTGAGGGGCCAAGCATTTCACTGTGACAGAGGCCCTGGCTCACTCTAATGTGTGGAGCACGGGAGCTGCTTAGAAAGCTCCCTCCACGCTCACTGTGCTCACTTCACAGGCAGAGTGGTAGCCTGGGTCCCACTCAGCCCCTTAGAGCTGCTCGGGAAGCCTTTAAAGTATTTGTAAAGAAAAATACTGATATTATAATGGTGGGTAAAGTAACATTATGTCTTTTCAAAGGCTGTTAAAGAACAAAAATTTAATTAAATGAATTTGAAGCTCTAATTTGCTTTATTAAGCGATTAATGAATTGGGCAGCATCCCATCTAGTAACTAGAAGGGCACTCCGAGGGGTTTTACAAAATGAAAGGCTTTTATAGGCAGACACTGGGCAGGACAAGAAAGTTATTAACGAAAGAAAAGAAAGGATTTTTTTTGGAAAGTTTACCTTCCTCAGGGGAAGGTAGGGGTTCTTATCATGCTGATTGCCTCAACTTCCTTTGAGGGATGGGGAGGGCCCACATGGTGATAGATTATATCATTGGTACTGACAAGAAAACTCTTGATTGCGTTCCTGGAGAAGGTTGAAACTCCAATAAGTCAGGTATTAAGTCTAGGTTCCATGTTATGGCCTGTAGCACAAGGGACTCCATTTTGAGTCTGTGCTTGTCTGTTTAACAAGACCCACTAAAGTATTGCACCCTACAAGCGTATTGTAACCAGCTGTACAAAGAAAAATACCTTTTAAGTAACTCTGAAGTACATTTTGCTATGTATGCCTTGTTGACTTGGCTAACTATATAACTATATAGCATATGAGGACCATAACCCCTCTTCCTGCTGTATGCTGTGAAACACTAGGGATGATGGTAGCGGGTGGGGAGGGCAGAGAACTTTAGTGCCGAATACCTTCAGAGAAGGGATTTCTTAGCAGGAATAAAATGAAGTGTGGGAACAGAGCAGAGAGCCAAGGGAGTTATGAATCCTTAAGAGAGATCTGAAACTCAGAACTTCAGGGGCCCATCCCTCAGCTGCAGGCCAGGGTGGTCTATCATTCATGCCAGTTAGGAATGAATCAACTCTGTGGCCTTATTTTTAAGGGCTCTGAGAAAAGGAGTATTCCAACTTCTCTCAGTCAGTCTTTCATCTCAAATCCCTTAAATGTGCCGACATGAGAAATATCCAAACCTGTGGAGAATTTCAATGAGTTTATGTGAGCCAAACTGACGACAATTGCTGGGAAGCAAAAATCTCGACAGATTAAGAAAATACTTCGGAGAATGGCAGTTTTGCAGCTTATTTTATACATTAGAATCAAAGGAGGAGACATAAGAAAGGTGCATCGAATCCTTTGGTGGTAGATGAAGGGGGCAGGAGAGGGCAAAGCGGGGGAAATCTCTGGGACTGGACAAAAAGTAAAATGGAGAAACACACACTTCATTTACATTGGTGAGTACAGGATAGTAAATAATTAACATTTACAGTACAAAGAGGTGGTATGCGGGGAACAAGATAACAAGGAGGGGTCTTGTAGTCTTGTGCTCTGGTGTGGTGGGCTGTGCCCTGAAAAAGGGATTACTCTGACACTCCAAGGACATGTTGTCTTAGATGCAAAAAGACACTAGACAGGCTCACTTAAGGTAAAAACTGGCCTTTGTCAAGGAAGTTACAGGCTAAAGATATGACTATCCACCATGACTCGCTTTAAGTTAGGAATTTTTGTGTTCAGACTATCCTACACGGTTAATTTCATTCTCTGAATTTATAGGACCTGCCATGCTGGCCTACCCTGAGCTTGTCAGGTTCAGTATGTGGCTCCGTTTTCATCCACAAATATAATCCAACCCAACCCACTTTTTTGGGGCATCGTCTTGGTGTCAGCCTCTTACCAGGTACTGGAGATGTGATACCTAGAGTTGGAATGGAGGTTGGACATGATGCTTGAGATAGATACTCAAAGTCTATCTAGGGAGGCTGATCTCAAAAAGACACCCAGCTAAAGCAAAGCTCAGCACTGTGACACATAATGGAAGCATTTGTCAGCGTAGCGAAGGGGGCAATTATTTTTCCCTTTGGTGGGAAAATGGGGAGGAACACTTCAGGGAAGTCTTCATGGTGAAAGGGACATTTGTTTTGGGCTTTAAAGGATGAATAGGAGTTCACCAAACAGAGACTATTGAAGGAATACTTATAAGGAACAGATGGTCTACAAGGAACAGAAAGAACAAGAGTAGGCAACCATAGGCAGTTAAAGTATACACACATTTTATGGAATGGTGAGAATATCGGTGTCTATTACTGCATACTAAGTTACACTTAGTGGCTTGACATAAAAGCAATTATTTACTTAGTTGATAAATGTGTATTTCAGGCAGGGCCCAGCAGGAAAGGCTCTTCTCCATCCCAGGTAGTGTCAGCTGGGGCAGCCAGAGGATCC